AAATTGATTTGTTAATGATTCTAAAGCTAGAAGTGGATCCAGGTATCTGTGGGGTTCCAGTGTTCTGGGGTCTCCTGTCTCTACCTGTTAGCGCCCCCATTTGTCTTCACATGGCCTTTACTCCGTGCACACACACAGCTGTGCACCAATGCACTCTTCTTACAAGAGCAATCATTTCATTGGATTGAGCCAACAATGATGACTTCATTTTGACTTAAGTACCCCTTTAAAGACCCGATTTCCAAGCACAGCTTCATTCAGAGTGATTGGGTAAGACATCTGTGTTCAACTCAGCTTATAACATACTGTTTCACTCTGTCTGTTCTTTCATTTCTCACCCAAGGTGCCCTGGGGTTGAATCCTCAAAATAGAGCATCAGTGGCTTTGTCCCTGATGCTGGTTCAGCTTTCAGAGGTTGGTGTGTGTGATCCAATTGCTTGTTATGTTCCTGTGGACCCCTCCCTTTGCTGCATCCTCAGCAAACATAACCTTCCTACTAACGGTAGCCTTTCATTAATATGCCATATATAAATAATCTATTTGTCAGTTTTGAATGTTTAAAGGATGTTGTAGTATATCACCTTCTGATGCTTACTTTTCCTGTGAACACAATTCATCCCTTTGGTGTATAATGGCATTCCTTTCCCTCTGGTATAGAACATTTCATTAAGGATATACCACAATGTAAACCTTCCTTTGTTGGTGGACACTGGTTTGTGCTGTACAAACTAAGGTGAATGGCCAAAGAGCACAGAGCTCCTGGAGACCATGTGTTGTGGACACTGCTTGCTAAGACGGACCACAGAAGAAATGAACCTTTCAGACAGCCTGAGTAGAAGCAGCAGCAGAAACAATGAAGGTCCCTAGTGTCAGCTTCATTAAAAGCACTAAATGGAGATCTGATGGAAGCCTGACCTCAGAATCCAAGAGTTATCTAAACCCCAAAGAGACTAAGCAGGGTAATTTAGGAGCTCCTGCCTCTCTCCTGCTGTGATTAGAGAGTACATTCTCAGCTGGGTGCAGAGCAGACTCTGATAGGTCAGCATCCATGGTGGGGGAGCCTCAGCCTTTCCCACCCCTGGCAGCAGCAAAATGGGGTCTAAGCTTTATGCATGATTGGACTGGATTGTCCTAGGAAACTGGGCCATTATCAGCACCCAAAAGGCATTGCAAGAACACCATTTTCTTTTTAGGAGACCAGTTTGCAGATCATCTGGGGCTAGAGAGGTGTGAATGGTTAAGAGCACTGGCTGCTCTTACAGAGGTCCTGGGTTCAATTCTCAGCACCTACATGGCAACTCAAAACCATCTCTCATTCCAGTTCCAAGGGGTTCAATGTCCTCTTCTGGCCTTCACAGGTACTGCACACACATGGTGCAGAGACTTAAATGTGGGTAAACACCCATACACATAAAAATAAGTAAACAACCGGGCAGTGGTGGTGCATGCCTTCAATCCCAGCACTCAGGAGGCAGAGCCAGGAGGATCTCTGGGAGTTCGAGGCCAGCCTGGTCTACAGAGCAAGATCCAGGACAGGCACCAAAACTACACAGAGAAACCCTGTTTGGAAAAACCAAAAAAAAAAAAAAAAAAAAACTAAACAAATAATTTCCTCATATATTAGCATTTCTATCTCAAATAGTTTGCGTTGTATTTTGCAACACATATACTCTTAGGAATGCTGTGGCTGGGCCATCTGGTATAAGGATATTGAATGCTAATTTAACTGCATATCTGCACAACAGGTCTCAATGCTCTCCCAGTACATCCCTGAAGGAATTCCAAGTGACTGTGGTAAATCAGTTGGGTAGTTAACGGTAACCAGCATCTCACTGTGGTCTCTCTCCAGGCCATTTTGTTAAACGCTTTTCTGGATGCTTTTATGTTGATTTGTTATCCTCTTGCTTGGTTATTTGGAAGAATTTCTTCTATATTCCTGATGCTAGCCCCTAAGATTTCTATTTTTCCTCTAATTTGTAGCTTTCGTCTTTTTTTGTTTTGTTTTGTTTTTCAAGACAGGGTTTCTCTTTGTAGCCCTGACTGTCTGGGAACTCGCTCTGTAGCCCATACTCACAGAGATCCACCTGCCTCTGCCTCCCAAGTGCTGGGATTAAAGGTGTGCACCACCACTGCCTGGCTTTATCTCATTTTCTTAAGGTAGCCTTCAATGCAAAGAGGTTCCTCACTTTAGGGTAGTTGAATGAAGCAATCCATTTTATCTTAGTACATACACATCTATATGCATAGATGTATGTAAAAATCCTTCCCTTTACCAGGGTAATAAAGAATACATCAACTTTAAAATGGTATGTGAATCCAAGAATAAATAGTAACAGGAATTTAAGATCAGTTAGATTGAGCTAAACAGGGGTGGCACACACCTTTAATCCCAGCACTTGGGAGGCAGAGGCAGGAAGACCTCTGAGTTTGAGGCCAGCCTGGTCTACAGAGGAAGTTCCAGGACAGCCAGGAGTACACAGAGAAACCCTGTCTCAATGCACCCCCCCCCCTAAAAAAAAGATTAGTTAGATTGGAATAATAGTGAAAATATCGCCTTGGGAAATATGGCAAAAGTTAACAGTTCAAGGAAAATGTAGAGTCTTGGTCATTATTTTTTAAAGTACGTATTATGAAGTAAGTATTCAAGTAGAGAGATATGGAAGACACCGTTGATCTTGCCAACATCCCTTTCTTGTCCTTCTGTGCAGGTCCACTAGTGACACTCATTGCTGAGCCAGGGGGATTGCGTGACGTTTCCCACAGCCCATCCCCAAGCCAACCTTGGAGATGGCAGGATAACCTCATAGCTCCAAGTCAGGGAAACTATAAGATAGAAGCATCCCAAGCACCCCATCCACCTTGTTAGAGATAGGCCGCTCTGGAGTGTCACCCAACTTGGAACACCCATGTGGACTCTGAAGGAGGAAAATATAAACTTTCGATGTGGGGGGGGGGGGGGGACATTTTGAAACTATTTGTCACAGCGTGAGCCAAACACGAGTCACAAAGGAGGAAGAGGAAAAGAAGGTGACTCTTGTCACCAAAGGAAGTAGAAGAAAGGAGAAAATAAAGAGTAGAAATTAGTGAACACAAAACAACAGAAGAGTCCAACAAAAGGAGCTCTTCCCCAGCCCTTAGGAAAGCTATCAGTCATTGCCAATTCTCTTCCAAGTCCTCTTGCCAAGTATATTTACATCTCCCTACATGGTTCCAAACATATCAAGAGCTTGCACATAACAAGCTCAATGGGATGCATTGTTTGTACATCCTTACAATTGCCCAGGAAATTTCCCCCATCCTAGAAACACCCCCCCACCCCCAATGGATGGCATGGATGTCACCTACAAGCCTTAAGCTGGAGAAATCATAAGATTTCTTTAGCTGCCTCACGAACCCACCAGAGCAGAAGCCAAGAACCACAGGTGCAAAGTCCAGGGGAAGGCAGACTCCCAGGGTGAGAACGGAGCTTCCAGCAAAGCTCGAGGAGAACATTCTCCACGCAGGAAAAGAGCAACACGGCGTTCTGATTAGCACGCACGATTTTCCACTGCCCAGAATAGAATTCAATCTCAGTCCCCATGAAATGAGGGAGGCGTCATCTCCATTCTCAGCTAATTCTACAAGAGTGCTTTTGATAACAACGCTACAAAGCATGAATTGGGGAAAAACAACTAAGCAGAGCACTGGCAATAATCAACATCTTCAAACACGATTTGCAAGCGAGTCTATTTAATTGTCTTCCTTTTCATTTTATTTTTCGTCGTTGGATTGCATCATAACTTAGCCTCTTCTGGTATTTATCACCCTTTAGAGTGTAAGGTTCACAGGTACAGAATTTCTGATTATTTACTTATAATTAGGAAGTCAATTAGCCCTATTCAGAGTCCAATGTAGCAAGGAGCAGAGGCCATTCTGTTAAAACTAAACTTTCAGTCTTAGAAAACTTCAACGATGTAGTTTGTTGTTCCCAGGAACAAGCCTTGGGTTGTTGTTTTTTTTAAATTGTGTGTGTATGTGTTGTACATGTGTGCACAAGCATTCGTGTGGGGGGGGGCATATGGAGGTCAGAGGGTAACTTTTTGGAGTTGGTGTCTCCTTCCACCTTTTTCCTTTCCTCCTCCTGCTCCTCCTCCTCCTCCTTTTTTTTTTTTTTTTTTTTTTTGGTTTTTCAAGACAGGGTTTTTCTGTGTAGCTTTGGAGCCTGTCCTGAAACTCCGCTCTGTAGACCAGGCTGGCCTCGAACTCACAGAGATCCACCTGGCTCTGCCTCCCGAGTGCTGGGATTAAAGGCATGTGCCACCACCACCCGGCTCCTTCAACCTTTATTGTCAGGTTTGTGTAGCAAGTGCCTTCACCCGCTCAGCTACCTCACCAGCCCTAAGGCTTGGTGTTTGTGTGTATACTTGTATCTCTTGGGTCCAGATTACCCTACATCAAGATTCAGATTAAGGGTGAATCTGCAAGTGTTAGGCCAAGGATTTAAGGAAAACACATCAGCTAAATTTAACTAGTTCCTCGTTAGAACTAATACACACAGCAAATCTCACACCCAGGCATTTGCATTTATGTTGTCAATTCAAACCACCAAATGCTCCCTCAGGGCCGCATCCTCCGCATTCCTTCAAAAAGAGAATTCTGAAAATGGCAGAGTCACACGTTGAAGTCAAGTGCAGTACTTGAAAGACCATGAGCCTAAATCTTCTTCCACTCACTTCAGTGCCTGAGGAGTAAAAGGGAAAGTTAAGCCTTGGAAGGTCTCGGCTTTAGTTCCTTCTTAAAAGTCCTTCTAGCCGGGCGGTGGTGGCGCACGCCTTTAATCCCAGCACTCGGGAGGCAGAGCCAGGTGGATCTCTGTGAGTTCGAGGCCAGCCTGGGCTACCAAGTGAGTTCCAGGAGAGGCGCAAAGTTACACAGAGAAACCCTGTCTCGAAAAACCAAAAAAAAAAAAAAAAAAAAAAAGTCCTTCTAATTTCTGATCTAAATGTATTGTTGCCTGGGAGACCAGCCTCCAGATAGCCCAGGGCTCGAAATGAATCCATGGTGTTGGCATATAACTAAGACTTTTCTATCTGAGGGAGGTTAGGGAAATAGACACTTGCATACTCTCTTGACGGTTTCCTTCAAACCTTTTCTTTATTCTTCCTTTGCATTCTCTATCCCTTCTCTCATTCCAGATGTTTTCCTTCTAACTCATTTTAACTCTCTCTAACTCTATCTCTATTTTTTCCCTTACAGCTTATTTAGCCCCAGCAAAATCTTTCAGGCAATATGAAAATTACAGTGTGGTTACATTCTGTTTTTCAAGTGAATGATTACAACGAATATAAAATAAACAGTAAAAACAGCATGTTTCCATATCCCTTACATGATTAAACATTTTATATATTATGGGTGAAAACCAAATTATCCTAAGAACCCACATATATCCATACCCAAGCAACTTGTTGTATAGATTAACCATGCATGCAAGCAAGGTATTCTTCTTGGTCTGATCTTTTTCTGGCAGGCTGCATTTTGCAGCTACAAAGAAAGGGCCAATTACTTTATTACTTACCTTGAAAGGTAATCTTATAAGGAATCACAAACCTAAACTTTTATATATGAAAAAGAATCAATCAGCTCTACTTTAAATCTTTAGGGTACATACCCACTCATCAATAGTTCTTTTTATATCAGGAGACTGAGGGCAGAAATGGGTATAAGGAATTATTCATCACCTTTGGTTATCAACCAATCCTAGCAAGAAAAATGTGTCAGCTAGTAATAATTGGACTGCTTTGTTCTTGTTTCCTGACCTTAATGAGTTCCTCACTCAACTCTGTGCCTTTCTAAAACTTTAGATTATCTTCTTGGGCTTTTCACCTCAGAGCTATTTGACAAAAACATCTTAGTCTAACTTTAAGTTATTTTCAAAGCTTTGTTTCAGCTATTATGCACTCTGTAACCTGTGAACACATCTCCCAACATTAAGATTAAAAGAATTTAAGCCAGCTGGGCTACTGGGACTCAATTGTTTCTCTTAATCATTAACTTAAGTAAGCCACAATCTATACAGCTCCTCAATAGAAACTCATGGGTTCTAGCTGTATGACACCTCCTTGTTTTACTTTGATTCACCAAAACTCTGTATAAGCTATCATTATTATTATCAATTAGGCAGTAAGCTTAGGGAACCATCTTTATGACAATCCACAGATAATGCCCAGTTGAACAGGCTGTTTCCATGAGCTAAACACACTACATTACAGGCAGTGGGGATCTCCCCACACTCATTCACACCATGCCGGATACCAGAGGAAATTGGCAGGGACAAACAGCAGAAGCAAAAGACACTCTGTGGTCTGTGGTCTCAGGGCCTTGCCCGTCTCAGGCTGACCCATCAGAGAGTTTCCTCCTGGTGGGCTGACACCTTGAACTTCAATTGCCACCTGCTGCTCCTCTGACATGGCCACCGGCAGAAATATCAGTTGACTCTTGCTGCTTTTTGACATGTCCATAAGCACAGAGCACATCGAAGCAAGCGGTGTCATAATGCCACCCTTGCCTTCCCTGGTTAGTAGAGATTAACAGTGGCAAATCCGGAAACTAGCAAGATCAGACCTGGGGGTTCCTCACCAGGGGTCCAGTGGAGGTAAAGAGTCCATGGAAATGATCAGTATAAAGTGCACCTGGAATACAGAACGAAGAACAGGCTTGAGTTTTGCTGGGGAGAAAAAAAAATAAAATAAAATAAATATTATTTCTGTCTTGGGGCATTTGTAATTTATTAGGCTGCATTGTTTAAACTGTGGGTTGTACCTGCGAAATATGGTCAAATACATACCAAGTCATCTGGTTCTGCCTAACAGGTGACGGGGCACAAATGAAACCCTCTAGCAAGGAAGGAACAGAAAAAGTTACCATATAAAAAGTATGGCCACAGCCCTGCCCCAATCCAGTGGCACAGGCAGTTAAACTGATTTATAGGCAGTCACCATTTACAAAAGCCCTTCCAGAGTCAACAGGGGGACCTCAGCATCTGCACTAGCTGAAACTGCGCATGCCCAGATTCTTGACCAGCACACAGTGATTAGCAAACCAAACAAAAGAGCACAGACCAATAGCCATTCTTCACTTCCTTTATCGGCTTCATGGTTTCTTTTCCCTTTTGCCTTTCCACATTATTCCTTTTTTTAACAAAACATAAAAATGAGTTTGGGGTATCACTGTAAGACAGAGGGGAGTAGCGAAGTGGTAACAGCCTCCAGGACTGGGAACCAGGCTCAGATTTCTTTTGTTTTCATCTATAACTGATGAAGGAATTTGGCAGGCAGGGGAGATAAACTGAGGATAAGCCAAGCCCATGGTTCAAACAGAACTCCAGTGTTCAGAGTGTGTCCAATCATAGACGCTCATCCTTTCTTGGGCTCTGACTCAGCCAAGCATCTGAGTGACAAAGATATGTACCAGGGACAACCACACAGCCAAGCCACAGACTCCACGGCAGTGGACAAGGGTATTATTTTGTGGGTTAGAGACAAAACGGTGAGTAATTCCCTGTTGGCTGGCCCTGAATGCTTCATTTACTAGAGGCTGAGATGAAAAAACACTGCTGTTACCACAAGACAAGAGTCAGCATCTAGATGCTCCTGACAAAGGCCCTTACGCGCTGTCACGTGACCAAAGGCAGCTCAGGCTGTAGACTCTAGAATCACTTCCACATTGTAGGTAACTGCAGGACAGAGATAAACAACCAGCTTCAAGACCAAGGTCTGTGAGTGGCATGAGATGGACTGTCTGACTTCAAAAGCCAATTCCTCAACTATTTCTGGTTCCCTGATGCCAATTTCCAAAAGTCAAAGCTTTCTACATCCATGCTAATTTCCCAAGCCCCTCCTCTCTTATCCTGGCACAACCTCACTTGGGAAAAATGGAATGCAGTTCTTAAACAGAGCCTGACATTCACGAAATGAAAAGAACAATTTCTCACTTCACAGACAATATTGCTTTATATTAAACTTAATTGTAAAGCTTTGATACTTCTTAATCATCAAAATGTTCCAACCAAGATATGTCAAAATGGCGAAGAAATAGTAACGTTAAATTATAAATCCATTTAACACATCTACTCGGTAGAATGACATTCCTCCTCTCCTTTTAAGTATTTTTCTCCTGATATTTTTTTTCTCCTTTATAGCAATCCTTCATAAGAACATCTGTACTTATCTGGGGGGGGGGAGAAGAAGGGAGGGAGAGAGGGAGAGAGGCAAGGAGGGAGGTAGGGAGAGGGAAAGAGAGAGCCTGGGAGGAGAGGGGGTGAGGTTCTCACCGCCCCAAGACGTCAGGGCTTACTGTCTTTCCCTGCTTTGTAAAATCTCTTAATGTCTCTTTTCCAATCTTCTCCCGTGACTTCAGTTCCACAACTTTTCAAAGAAACATGACACTCAGGGAAGAGGACTCCCTCAAAACAAGCCTGAGGTGCTGCTTGGATGCTGCCTTCCCCAAAGCAGAACAAGAATGTCGGATTGGCACCCACTTTCCATCACACATCACCTCTCATGTTCTCATCCATGAGATCAGTCATCCGCCAGCAGCAGGATCCATTCAAAAGACGAGCTTCAGAAACAGAGCCATGACCTTTTAGAAAATGCACAGGCATATCAGGGCACAGCCTGAATCCGAGACCTCAGGAGACCTGCACCACGCGCGTGTATCCTGACAGAGAGCCCCAAAGGTTTTCAAAGACTACATGGTATGTAGCCTCTTGCATATGTGGCATTATTTTGCTAGGTCCAAACAGAATTTAATCTCTGTTCTCCAAGTAGGTAAGCCATTGGTCATTATTTGAGAAAGAATGTAGCAGAAAAGTTTTTCCTCTATAGGGATAGAGAAATATAGAGCAACAGAAATCAGGATAGATTACATTGCCTAAAATTAGAGAAAAACAAGGCCCTCTGGCAAAACTTCTATGTGACTTAAATCATTTTTTCCTTTACTTCCATTAAGTTTCACACTAAGCATTCTTTTGTGACGTCAGCCCACTTCTAAAAATACTTCTAAACCCAAATAAATAGAACCCCTGTAAAACAGAAAATGAAACCTTTCCAGATAATACAATTTCTAAGAAAGAAGATGGACAAACTCCATAACCTAAAATACAAGTTATAGAATCCATTTTATAAGCCCCTATAGGTCACCAAACCTCTGCTGGATTCTTCTAGCCCTGGTTCATCACAGAAGGCCTTACATGTCCTTGAAGGTACATTGGAAAGGTCAGGTTTAGGGTACTCTGCAAGCCAATCTTCCATTAAAAAGATGTTAAAATGTTCCTCTTCTAGCTGCTAAGTATGAAATACATGGTAGAACGTCCCCACGTCCCCTCCCAAACTTCCTGCACTGAAGCATTAAGCCACATTAGGAACATGCCAGGAGGCGAGGCTTTGAGGAGGTAAGCCCTTAAAAGTACCCTTGAAAGAAGGTTGGTATATGCTCTTTTCTCTCCTCTCTTCTCCTTCCTCCTCTTGCTCTCTCTCCTCACTCCTTTCTTCTGTCTCCTCTCCTCTCCCGTGCCCACTCCCTCCTTTCTTCTTGCTCTCTCTCCTCTCACTCCCTTCCTACCCACCCACCCATCCCCAAGATAGCTGTGTGCAAACCAGAACTGAATCAGTCAGCACTTTGGCCTTGACGTCCGATTCTATATTTGGTTATGGCAAAGCCCAGCCTGACTAAGACATGGAGTAACCTCCAAAGTGAATACCCAAACCATTGGTCAAGCCAGAGGGTGGCTGTACCAGAAGTATAAGAATTTCTTTTAAGATGGTCACTCACATACAATCTCCAAGGAAATGGCTTGGGTTCACCTCACCCCGAAGGAAAGAGGCCATTTGTTTTTTAACAGGCTAGGAGAGAATATGAACCAGTTATCTGTGCTATTTAAACACATGCACAGCAGGTGAGAACATCTGAGCAAGGCCGCCGTCTCTTCCTAATGCACCCTGGGACATCTAAGCAAGGCCCCCATCTCTTCCTAATGCACCCTGGGACATCTAAGCAAGGCCCCCATCTCTTCCTAATGCACCCTGGGACATCTAAGCAAGGCCCCCATCTCTTCCTAATGCACCCTGGGCTGGCAAAAGGCCGCAAGAGGTTCCTCCATGGCTGGCAATATTAGAACTTTAAATGAAGATATGTACTTCCTCAAGACTCTTGGGTGTGTCTATGTAAATTGTGTTTATGTAAAATAGATCATAGGGGTTTTGGAAGATGGTGGGAATGAAAATTGGAGGTGTTTAAATGCATTGTTTTTTTGGGGGGGGAATAAAAACAAAACAAAGGCCCACACAATAGGTGATAGGACTTCAGTTTGGATCGAGAAAGAAGTGAACAGAAAACAGCAGACAGAAAGTGGGACAAATACATCGACTGAGGCACTAAATAACAACACAGGACTTCCTTCAAAGCATTTGCTCTGAAATGGGTGGTGCTGCCCCCTAGGGGCAATCTTTCTAAGCGGACATGTTAATGGCCAGTCTCCTTGTATTTACCAGGTTGGGGTCATGAATGCTGCAAGAAGCTGCCAGCAGACCGGGTCCTTCACAATAAAGACTTAGCCCCCCCCCACACACACACAGCACAACTTTTGGTTGCCTTCTAAATACTCATTTCATTGCAAATCCCGTTCACAACCATCTGAGTCCGTGACGTCATTTTTTTTTTTTTTATGCCGACACACAGAGGACTTTTAGCTCAGGCTTGAAGTGTTTTGGGTTTTTCCGGAATGCAATTATTCTGTAAACTGAAGTACGCTCGCGTGCAGCAGCAATGATGAATGAGGATTCTGGAGCCACACCACCCTGATTTCACCCCAGCTCTGCCACCACCCGCTGCACATTCTTGGACAATGCCCTCAGATGAAAAACAGAAGTGACCGTGGTTCTCAATTATGAATGTTATCTCAACAGTGCCAGGGACAGAGTGAGCTCTGTATGACGGTGTCGTAGACAAGTTTTGTAGAACTTTATCTGGAATCCTCCACCTTTTGGGAAACTGGGTAGCTGTCATCATCAAACGGCCTGTGTTAGGCTTCGTTTATAGCTACCATGATCACGATGTTTTTCTTTTTAAAAAAATGTTATGAAGCCGGGCGGTGGTGGCGCACGCCTTTAATCCCAGCACTCGGGAGGCAGAGCCAGGCGGATCTCTGTGAGTTCGAGGCCAGCCTGGTTTCCAAAGCGAGTTCCAGGAAAGGCGCAAAGCTACACAGAGAAACCCTGTCTCGAAAAACCAAAAAAAAAAAAAAAAAGTTATGAGTGTCTTGCCTGTCTGTGCACCATGTACATGCAGGGCCTAAGGAGGGCAGAAGAGGACATCAGATTCCCTGAGACTGTAGTTACAGACAGTTGTGAGTCACCATGTGGGTGCTAGGGACAGAACCCAGGTCCTCTGAAAGAGCAGCCAGTACTCTAACTGCTGAGCCATCTCTCCAGGCCCTATGATCATGACTTTATACTATGTATGTGCGTAGACCATGTACTTTGCTTTACTATATGATTATAAATATATAGTCATGCTATATTGAAATATTTCATTTACATCTTATTTACATAAATGTTTACATTTCAGCTGTAACATCATATCAAGTGTACTACCTGCCAAATGCTTTTATGTGTGTATCTTTTATCATCCGTGATTTTCATTTGGTGATTGTAGTGATGTTCTAAAACAAGGAAGGCACCAAGAAAACAACCTCTAAATCAACATGAGCAGAGCTCATATGAACCAAGACCGCAGCAGCGTGCACTAAGCCAGCACAGGTCTGCACCAGGACCTCTGTGAATCTATAATGGCTTCCAATATAGTGTTTTTATGGGATTCCTCAGTGTGCAAATGAGTGGGTCTCTGATTCCTATCTCTTCTCTTGGGCTCTTTTCTGGCAGAAGCCACACCCAAATTCACACCTCTGTCCTGCGGCTCAGAACAATGCTGGAGCTAGACTCTGGCACAAAGTTTGTCTTATTCAACTTTGATGTGATAGTTTTATCTTATTATTAATGAATGAATGAATGAATGAATGAATGAATGAATGAATGAAAACCTAGCCACTAACAGACACTTAGACCTGCTGGGAAAGGGAAAATCAGTTTTCTCTAACTGACCTTAGGTATAGCAACCACTCCAGGACAGGCCTCATGTTCAGAAGTAGTTGGCCAACATATCGTGAACTCCACAGGTTGTATGTGTTTGTGTGGTGTGTCTCTGTGTGTCTGTGTTTTACTTGGTTACCCTTTGGTGGGGTTTTTTGTTTGGTTTTTGAGTGTGGTTTTAGTTTGTTTTCTTGGTTTGGGCGCTTTTATTTTTGTATTGGGCTTTTATTTTTTGAGAAAGATCTTAAAGTTGGGTGGGGAGGGAAAGGGAAGATCTGGAAGAACTTGGAGGAGAGAATATGATCAATGTATTTAAGATTGTTTTTTAAAAAACAAAATATAATTTTAAACAAAAAGCATTTCTTTCTTAAGAATGGGGATGGTGTTGGGTTGGGTATGGCCAGATTAAAGAGTTACCAGTTTAAGCTGCTCTGCCATCCTTCACCATCTGTGTTAAACCATTGTCACGGTTGACAGAGGGTTAACTGTTGAGCCCAGGAGTGCCCGATCATTTTGAAGTTTTTTAATTGCATGTATGCATGTGTGTGTGTAGGTGCACATGCATGCACATGGAGACCACATGCTGACATCGGGTGTCTCCCTGGATTGCCCTCCATCATACATATTGAGAAATGATCTCTCACTGAACCCAGAACTTGCAGACTCCGGCTAGTCTAGCCAGCCAGGCTGCTCCTAGAATCCTTCATCTTCACTGCCTCGGAGTGCTAGAATTACAGGCAGTCGCCACAGCTGCAGGGATCTGAGTTGGGGCTGAGGATCCAAACTCTGAGGCTTCCCTTGTCCATTGAGTTCTTTACTCCCCGACACATCTCCCCGGCCCCATTTTGAGGAACTATTATTACCTGTTGTTTACGTATTTCAGAAGTAAAGGTTTATAAAATATTTTAGCAGCAATACAGTTCTCAAACAGAATTCAGGTAAAAAAACCCCAGATAAAAACACAAAGGAAAAACAAATTGTGGAGACTGTAGAGGAAGCCAGACCTCTCCCTGGACTTGCACAGCACTTCCAGGAAGAGCCTGGGAGGTACCATCTGCTGCAGTAATTTGAGTTGAACCCCGCAGAGAGTTAAGTCTGAGTTCTCAGAACCCATTCTTAGAACGGTCATTCGATTCAGAAGAGATGTTTTCTGCACAGAAAAGAGGCCACCCCATTAGCCATGTCCTTCAAAGCTGTGTACACCATTAAGCAGCTGGGACTATACTATGAAGAACCCTCTTCTAGACCAGGGTTAAAACAAGCACCGTGTCTGGGCACAGAGCCAACTCAGGCCAACAGGAAACTGGCAGGGGCCCCCCTGCTCTTCTCACACAGCTCCTTCCTTGCCTCCGGAGGCCCTTTCCTATACCCTGCCCACATGCTGGGGGTTAAGTACCAAGATGAATCACACACAGAATCCTTACATCCCTGTTTGTGGCGTCATCTGTGACCCCCACCCAACACACTAACTTCCCAAAGCTCCCCGCAGACACTGATGGGAAAATGCTGGTATGAACCCAATCACACTAAGAGAAGTGGATGCTCGGTCTCTTAACCCAACCAGAGGCATTTAAGATGGGAGAGGGGCTCACTATCCCCAGTGATCCACTCACGAACTGCCTTTCAGGCAGGTCAGTGGACATTCCCAGTGGTGTGAAAGAGTATGCAGAGGCCTGGCTAGAGCTCTGCCTAAGAATACGCTGGAAAATTCCTTTTCTGTAGTTGCGTTTACATTTGCTTCTTTAGTTCCACTACCACAAATTCATGAAATCCCAAAAAATGCTTGGGAGGATTTATTTCAGTTTTTAATATTAGTGCCCATGCTGGCAATGGCCAGAGTGGTCACTTGTAAATCTGAAAACACTTTGAATGCTTTTTTTCCTTCGGTTTCACGTATGACGCAAAACAGCAATATTTCAATTACATGTGACTAAGAGTAAGAAAAATATACAACTCTATTTAAAACACTTAAATTAACAAGGTAGGGCTTTTCCATTCTAGCAAAATACGGTACATTCGGTTTAAACAGGAGTTAATATCCAGACACACGTTTTCAAAATACCTGATGCTAGTTGAAAATCAGTGACCATGAGGCTTTCCAAGACATTTCTAATTAGCAAAATGTGTACAACTGGGAAGGGCTGTAGGCTTTTTTTTTTTTCCAGAAGACAGACATCAAACAGGTCAATAATGTAAACTGACCAATGTCTTATCACTCTAAATCTTGTTGCTTCATTTTCCTGAATGATACTTTGGCTCTCAGCAAACCTTATATATAGCTTCTTTCCCTCACAGAACAACACACAGAACAACTGCAACACCCCTCACAAAAAGCACACACTTTCTTGTGTCTACCACACACCCCATCGAAGTGTGCTCAAGAGTCCGTACTGGCTCACCTAAATGGAGGTTGTTATGGAAAAGGGGCAGCTAACCATGTGTAACAGCTGACCTACAGGTAAAGCCCTGCTCCAAAGAGCCTCACACACTTACCACGCCACTCTGCCGTGGACGCAGCCACACTTATAAATATGGGCTATAGCTTTAAAAAAAAAAAATATCAAAACAGTTTTCTCCTTCGGCTTCTTCAGACACAGAAGTTGGACCACAAACCAACACATCAATGTGACAAAAGTCATCAACCTTAGTCCCCTGCTGCCCAAGAAAACAAGAGTGAACAATGTTGCCAATTCCTGACATTAAGTTGTCTGGCCAATGCACAATTTACAGAGCATGTCTCCATGTTCCCACAATGGGGAGGCAAAAATGAGCAGGCTGTGCCATGTCGGTCCTTCCTTCTGCCTCCACAAACAGCACCTAAGATCCTCTGAATCAGACGCCCGCCAAGGACTTCAAAAATCCAGGAACGGCCGCATGCAACCTTAAAAAACAAAACACCATGGAATGAAGTAAGGTCGCCTGGAGCAATGCGGATGGAGTCTGAAGCAGCTGTCCCCTGAGGAAGAAGGCACTTGCTTAGCAGGAGACAGGCAGCAGGAGGCTGGTGGAGCAGCCTCAGTGAGTCAACAGCTTGAGGCGAGTCAGCCAGGTGACGAGCAGCGAAGGCTCCCCAGAAGATGCCTTGGCAGATGAGGAGGCTGATTTCTTCTTGGGCCCTTCCTCCTGGAAGGGAATGGTGGCGCTGCTGTGCAGATCCGAGTTGATATAGCACCTGCTCCCTCGAATGTAGTCCGCACCTCGCACCAGGTGCCGCTCAGTTGTGGGTCTGGAGAACCGGTACACAGGCGAGGCGCTTTCTTCAGTGATGGGTGTGATCCGCTCATTACTGAAGTAGCGGCAGAGGGCCTCTTCCCCTGTTTTCAAACAAAGCCCACAAGTCTATGAGTACAAGAACCCCCAGATCTAACAGCACCAATAAGTAAACACATACCCAGCTCTCTTCCCTGCAAGGCCCTGTGAAGGGCTTGACCTGCCTCAGGAGTGTTTGCAAAAAGAACCACCGAGAGGTTCGCCATGAGCCTTACGGTTAAATAAAAAATGTCAAAACTTCTCCACCTCCACACCACCAACTCATGTCCTGATTGTGCGCTCCTCAGTGACTGGCACTGTGTTGGGGGGCTGTGGAACCTTTGGGAGGTAGGGCCTGGCTGGTAGATGCACCTCACAATGAGTGGTCCTGTGGTGATATTGTGTTCCCCAAAATATTGTACATCCTAATAAAATCTGGGGTCAGAGAATAGAACAGCCACTAGATACAGAGGCTAGAAAATGGTGGCACTCACACCTTTAATCCTAGCCTTCTAGAGGCATGGATCTCTGGAAATAGCAGGCATGGTGACTCACGCCTTTAATCCCAGGAAGTGAGCCTTTAATCCCAGGGAGTGATGGCAGAAAGCAGAAAGGTATATAAGGTGTGAAAACCAGAAACTAGCTTTTAGCTGATTAAGCTTTCAGGCTTTTGAGCAGCACAGTTCAGCTGAGATCCATTTGGATAAGGACTCAGAGGCTTCCAGTCTGAGGAAACAGGATCAGCTGAGGAACTGGCAAGGTGAGGTGGCTGTGGCTTGTTCTGTTTCTCTGATCTTCCAGCATTCACCCCAATACCTGGCTCCAGGTTTATTTTCATTAATAAGACCTTTTAAGATTTGTGCTACATGGTCCTCTGGAGGCTACACCTGCTCTTGGTTCCTGGCGCCACTGACTGACCATCCTAGTCTACCATCTCATACTGCCACTGCCACAGCCGGAGTCTCTGTGCCATGACTTCCTGGCTACGATGCGTTGTGGAATATCATGTTAACTAGGCAAAGATGTGTGATATGTTTCTGCTGTGGAAAATGACTTTAACCATGTGAAGGTGTGTTACATTTGTTTATGTTGTGGACTATTACTGTAACTATGTAAAGGTGTGTTACATTTGTTTATGTTGTGGACTATTACTGTAACTATGTAAAGGTGTGCTACATTTGTTTCTGCTGCATTTGTTTAATTATGTAAAGATGTGCTGCATTTGTTTCATCTTGCCTGCCTAAGGCACCTGACTGGTCTAATAAAAAGCTTAATGGCCAATAGCTAGGCAGGAAAGAGACAGGCGGGGCTGGTGGGCAGAGAGAATAAGTAAGAGAAGAAATCTAGGCTCAAGAGTGAAGGAAGAAGAGGAGAATGAGGGAGGAAGAGTGACATGCCCAGCCTGGCAGCTGCCAGCCAGACACAAGAGGCAGGAAAGGAAGAGGGGGAGGAAAATGCAAGTTGTCCTCTGATCTCAACATGCACTCTGGCACCTATGTACTTACACACACACACACACACACACACACACACACACACACACACAATTTTAAGAAAAACAAGCTAGCTTGCTTCCAGGCACCTTGCAGGAAGGGGGCTGCCTAGGATGTTTTCCTGGGATCGGCCACGTGGGTACCCACAGGCTTGTCCAATGAGGGCAAGATACTCTCCAGCTGCAGCAGAGTTCTTAGTGTGGTTCATATGGCACTGGTTTTTCAGGCACACAGCATGTATGAATTATGGGGTCATGAGGGTTTATACACAGACTTTTTTTTTTTTTTTTTTTAAAGGAAAGCCTGTGAGGCTAGCCAGTGTATAATATAGTTGAATTCCCTGCAGGGAGCCCCTAAGATGTCAACATGTGAAGCTATGAACGTGGAACCTAAGTTGTAGTGGAGGCCCCTGAATGCTGAAGCCATCTGCCAAGGAAAGCTGCAGACATCAGACAGAGCCACTCTAAGATGTAGTCAGCATGGCTATGGAGCAAGGTGCCCGTGTCCACTGAACCACAGATCATGGTATCATGCTTTTGAGGTCTGGACACGGAGCTCATCTTGTGTTGGTCCTGGAAGGTTAACTCACAGTTAAGAGAGTTGTCCTTGAGTCCCAGAGTCCTTTGACCTCTGAACTCCTAAACAGTATAGGAACCACTCAAGACGATGGGTTGGTGTGGATGCCTTGTGTATTCTAAGATGGAAATGAGCCTCAGGAAGTCAGGGAAGGAGTGCTGTGGTGCGGCTGTGAAAGGTTCCCCCGGGAGCCTATGTTCTTGGTGCTGGTGCCCTCGCTTGAGAGACTGGGGAGGCTTTAGGAGGTGGGACCTGGCTGGCCGAAGGTCATTAGGGGTAAGCTTTTGAAGGCTACAGTTCAGCTGCTAGCTCCAGCAGCTTTCTGCTCCCGGGGGTCTATCACCACGTAAACAGCTTCCACCTTGTGCTCCTCCTGCCACAGACAGAGCCACTCTGCCACGCCACCCCCACCGTGGGACGGAAATGGTGGCCCAAGGAAACATTTCTCTCTGAAGTTGTTTCTGTCGGGTTTGTCGGTCACGTGATATGAAGTGGCTAATGTATTCTGGCTGCTCTAGCACCCACGAGGAAACACAATGGCCCAGCAGAACCAGAGCCAGAACTTTTTTTACCTACATATAACTTCACTTAAAATAAAAAAAACAAAGACAAAGTGTGCTTCTATCCCCACTTCCCCAGCTGTTTGTGGGTGGGGCCTGCAGCACATAGGGGGGAAACTAAATACTACTGGTCTAAAACAGGAAAAATATACAGTGGTAAAATGATCCCTAATGGCATTCTGCTAGACTCATAGGTCAGTGCCTTGCTCAGCCATCATCACCCCCAGAGGGAGGGCTCCATCCCAGAAACACTGCTCACCCCCAGAGGGGAGGGCTCCATCCCGGGAACAATGCTCACCCCCAGAGGGGAGGGCTCCATCCCAGAAACACTGCTCACCCCCAGAGGGGAGGGCTCTATCCCAGGAACACTGCTCACCCCCAGAGGGGAGGGCTCTATCCCAGGAACACTGCTCACCCCCAGAGGGAGGGCTCCATCCCGGGAACAATGCTCACCCCCAGAGGGAGGGCTCCATCCCGGGAACAATGCTCACCCCCAGAGGGGAGGGCTCCATCCTAGGAACACTGCTATTTTATTTCTTAAGTGGCCATGTGTAGAGAGACATCATCACTTCTAAAGCAGTCATCAGGAAGTTCTCATAACCCCAATCCCTACACTACCCCTCTCCTTATATGAAGGAGAGCAGGCTAGATCCACGCTCAGGGAATGGCGATGAAGATGTCAACGTTTTAAATCTAAACAAAGGCCAGCCCTGCCACCTGCTGACGGCTGCACAGACTTCCGTCTGCACACCAGGAACATCTGAAACCCAGAGACTGGCATCTTGTCCCTTTGTCGTGTTAGTATAATCCAGGTGATCCAAGCACGCAGGTGACATGATTTCCCCAGGAGATGTCGGGAGTCGCCCACTTGGAAGGCTAGGCCTTCGGAGTTTACACTTCCTTTCAGCCCACAGCCCACATTACACTGCCTCACGGCTCTTTGTTTCAACATTACAGAGGTGATGTTATAATTCCCATCCAATGTTGGTAATCAGAGCCTATCGAGCAAAAATAGGTAAAAATTTTGTTTTGTTTTTGAGACAAGGCCTCACTATGTAGCCCTGGCCAGCCTGAAACTCACTGTGTAGACCAGGCTGGCCTTAAACTCAGAGATCTGCCTGTCCTTGCCTCCCAAGTGCTGGGATTAACGGCACACACAACTGTGCCTAGCATATAAAAGTATCTTTAGATGTTTCCTAAAGATTGGTGTAATAACTTGTAACCAATTACAGGGTGAATTAGAAACAATTTTTCAGACAGTAATTATGCCATAATAATTTAAAGACAATTTGTATGTTCATCAAAAATCAAGCTTAAAAAAATCATGCAATTAAGGATGTTTACCGAATGACTTGTTTAAAAAGTGGGCCATTTGTGTCTAGAGACTTTTAAAAAGCCACAGTGCTGACTAGATTCTAGGAAGATACAGTATTTCCACTCTGGAAACAAGCCGTATTGTAGCAACCTTCAGCAGGCCTGATTTACTAATGACAAGCTGGGCCTCAAGAAATGCTATCACCCTCAGGAATCAGGGATGGGATGGCCTGGGTCTTCTGACACCATTCAGCAATTTTGGTTTGCTTAGATGAGACATACCTTTCCTCCCGTGACCTCGAGGTCTAGCAAACGGGTCCACAATCCCCATCCAGTTCCCATCTGCAGGCATGGACAGAGGCCGGGGTTTGCCTTCGGAGACCAGATGGTGAGGCAAGGTTAGAGACATTTACCAACTTGAAGACACTCCCTCCCTTCACTTGTAACTGAGCTCCCAACCGTGCCCACTTAAATAGAAGCAGCGACAAATTCTAAAATCAAACTATTTTTAAAGCCCCACGTCGACATTGGAAGCACTTAGGGCAGAGAGGCGTGCTAGCCACCGCTGAGCCCTTGGGTCTCCAACGCTCCAGTTAAAACTGTAATGTGAGCTCACCCAGCTGGGCTTTGATGCCAGGCTGAGCAATGACTCAACAGGGCTTTGCTTTGGCCAGATGAATAAAGGGCTCATACCTAGAATGTCACTGAGGTTTATGTTTTCCTCGGATCACCTTCCGAGGCTGCCAAGTTCATGCCAGAGCCCCAAATAAGGAAGGGGTGGGGAGGTGAAAAGGAACGGCGGGGTACCCTGGAGAACTTACCATAGGATGGTGTCTTCCCTCTCATTTTTGCGGGGAGAATGTTGGTTCCCACCGAGTAAGCCGGCAACTGGTCGGAATCAGCGATGGTAAATCTGCATCTTTGGCTCTCCTGGTCCAGGAAGGAGTTAGGGGACTCGGAACCCTTACGCCCAGGCAACGGCTGTTTACTCTTACTGGGTCCTCCATAGGCAAAGCTCCCATTCTCGTCCCTGGAAGACAGTGTGTGGTGAGTAGGGAGCTCACAGACCCAGCTCTCTTGACCAAGAACGAACAACAGGAACCCAGGTACCATGGGCACGTGTGACTTTCAGCTCCTTCCCACTGGAGAGAAAGCACTACTTTGCTCCACTCAAGTTGCCCCTTCAAGTACATACAGACACCCCTCCACCCCCCCAACCCCCCACCCCCCCGCTGAAGAACAGAAGCCATGAACCTGTTGAGTCTGGGCAAACACGGCCTCCCGTCCACGTATGTCTACACAGGACCAGTGCACCCTGAAAACACAGCTCCTGCCTTCCCCACATCCTGTTCTCTGGGTGAATGTCCTGTTCACAACAGGGGTCAGCAGCTCAAGTGTGGGCTACTGCACCATTTTTCTCACGCCAAGAGTAGGGTCATTGCCTGGACCCAGCAAGACTCTTGGCGTGTACTGAAGTTGTTAGATTTGAAAATTCTTCCAACACTTTGAAGAATGCTTCTCAGAAACCAGAGGAGGGGGACTATTTCTGAACTCAGTAAAAAAATTAAGTTGGACCAGCAACTCCATCTTAATCCTCCTTAAATTTCAATATAGAGCAGAACTCAGTTTGTACCTGAGCCCAAGTTACCAGATGAACAGTTTTCTTTCTTTGCATTTGGTGAGTTTTGTAAGGCAGTCAGTAGAAGCCCACTGGACAAAATACAGATAAAGAGGGTCATGAAGCCTGTGAGTGGCATCCCCAGGTGAGCCTGCTACCCACGTCCCCTCACCTTCTCAGAATCTTCTTCTACCGTTTGAACCCACCCTATAACCTCCTCACTCACAAGCTTTCATGATTCCTAACTTGTTTCTCTGTATCCACTGGCATGTCTCACACCCCAGAGAAGGCATCACTGGTGGCCTGCGTGTGTGTGTATGCACAGCCATGTGTCTCCCATCAAGGGGTTTGAACATCCCAGCTCCCTTCCCATGAGCACAGCCCCCTTCTTGCCAGAACTCCTGTGACACTCTCACTGAAGCCCAGAGAACACTCAGGGTCGGGGGCTGGAGAATCTGTCTCCCTACAGTTCCTGACACAGTGACCCACTCGGTGGCCTCTGAGGGTCTGGGGTCCCCATGCACAGAGACAACACCCCCTGCAGCTTTAACCAACTCCAAGTCTACGCCACAGGACCCTGTGATGGGGAAGAGGCCCGCCAGCTACCAGACATCTCTGATCACCACACTTGAGGTCAATCACTACATGCTGCCATTCCTTCTGAGTAAGTCAAGGGAGACCACAGGGCAACTTCGATCGGTCCCCAGGCAAGAGACACAAAAGTAGCAAAGACCCTGATAAACAAAGACAAATGATCCGGGTGGTAGTGGTGGTGGTGGTGGTGGCGGTGGCGGTGGCGGTGGTGGTGGCGGCGGCGGCAGCGGCGGCGGCGCATGCCTTTAATCCCAGCACTCAGGAGGCAGAGGCAGGCGGATCTCTGTGAGTTCGAGGCCAGCCTGAGATATAGAGTTAGTTCCAAGACAGGCTCCAAAGCTACACAGAGAAACCCTGTCTCGAAGAAACAAAACAAAAAACCCAAAAAACAAAACAAACAAACAACAACAACAAAAAAAAAGACAAACAAGCCGGGCACACCCACTGCACAGGTGCTGCTCCGGCTCTGCCTGGTAACGTAGAAGACGTTGATCCCGGTGTGTGTCTGACCAGGTGAGTGAAATGCTGGCGGCATCAGAGGCAAAACCAAGTCTGCTTCGTGCCAAGAGGTCACTGGCCCCTCACCCGGTGTCTTCTGAATAAAAGCGACATCCTCTGGTGTCATTGGCATGTGTGAGTATGTGAGCCCCCGTGAGGAAGCCTGGAGCACACCCTTCGACCGCCACTGTCCCTCCTGGGACCACTGTGCTGCACCGCCACCACAGTTAGGACACCGAGCAAGACTTGATATCACAAGTACACACTCATTATGCTCACAGACAGTTCAACACATATCACCTCACCATTTTTCAGAGTGCCCGTGGTGTGTGTGTTTGTGTTTGCATATGTGTGTCCGTGTATGTAGATATGTTTGTGTGTGTTTGTGTAGGTGTGTGTATATAGGTGTTTGTGAGTTTGTGTGTGTGTACATTTTGTGTGTATATGTACTGTGTATGTACATGTGTATACATGACTTTATGTATTATGTGTGTATGTCTGTATATGTATGCACAAGTGTAAGCATATATGTATTTATATGTGTGTTTGTGTGTATGTCTGTATACATGTGTGAATATTACATACATATGTGTGTGTGCACCTGTGTGTATGCATGTGTCTGTGTAGGTCCATGTATGTGTTTGTGTATTTATATATATATGTGTACCTGTGTGTGTACCTGTGTTTATGTGTGTATATATGTTTGTGTGTGTGTGTGTATGTGCGCACGCACACAGACACACACATCTTTCTTGGTAAAATCAGGCAACAACTCTAATGATTCTCACACAAATAACTTTTAGCTTCCTCCCTACAAATGAATTTATCATGGAGCTGACATAACTTAAGCTACAGGGATCCCCCAAACAGCTGCTTCCAAGGCCCCCAATGCACAGACTTCTGTAAATTTTTCACAAGTCAGGTATGTTGGGATTTCTTTCTTAAAGGGCCCTCACCCAACTGTATAACTTCCAAGCCCCACGAAGTGTGACCCAGCCCCGAAGTCCCACCCAGCGAGTCAGATCTTGTCATTTAAAGTGGCCTCCTGGCTCAGCATTGGCCATGCAGGGACAGCCAGTCCCCCTATGACATGGGGGCTCACGTACCGGGGGGAGTAGGGCACAGCAGGTGGGGGAGGAATATACAGATCCAGGATGGCTGGCTTCTCCTTCTTCAGGGAGGCATCCATGGTACTCTCTGGGGACTGGGTCGTGGTGGGTGGGGGTGAGGTCTGCAATGAGAGACACACAAGGAGTGAAAAGCAGAGATCCACTTGGAGATTATTCTTGTCTAATTTTCCCCCACCCCAAACCAAGCCAGGCCTGAGTACAAGCAGAGGCAGAGCTCACCCACACATTCATTGGCTACTAACAGAGCTCAAATCCACGCTTCCGTGAGGCCACCGATTCACAGAGGACTTGGAGAAGCCGTGGGGTTTTAACGCTGGCTTTAGGGAAACCACTTACAAATCCATGCCTCAGCTTCCTCCGCTGTAAAACTGACACTCACAATCCTGCTGGCTGAGAAAAGCACACAGCAGTGCCCCTCAGATTAGGGGTATGGCCTTGGGGGCTCTGGGTGTGATCCTGGCTACCCTGCTGACTAGCTGTGTACTGCTAAGACGGTCACTCAATGTCTCTGTGTCACATCCAGAAAATGGGACTTAATGGGAACAAGAACAGCACCCAGTTGGAAACTGAGAGAACACACATGAAGGGCACAGGACATGCTTGCCAAAGAGTAAATACACAACTCATTCCGTTGAATTTAGCCCATGGTACAAACACATTTTTAAATTTAAAAAAAAAAAATTTAAATCTTTAACTTTAATTACATGACTGATCTCAAAGGACTTAAATTTTTATTAAATATTTAATATTCATATATGTGCATGTCTCGATCCAAACCACTCCCATTCTCTCCTTTATCCCTTCCTCTCTTTCCTCTCTCAGCAACTTCCTGTTCTCTCATTCCCTCCCCCTCCCTGTCACCCCACCTCTAACTTCACGGCCATTCAGTGTTGTCTGCATGTGTTCAGGTGCAGGACCTGTACTGGAGCATGGGCAGTCTATGCAGGACCACATCCTGCTGTGGGATGTTCTGTGTGTTAAATGTGTTGCTCTGATTGGTTAACAAATAAAACACTGATTGGCCAGTAGCCAGGCAGGAAGTATTGGTGGGACAAGGAGAGAGGAGAATTCTGGGAAGTGGAAGGCTGAGGCAGGAGACGCTGCCAGCCGCTGCCATGAGTACCAACATGCAAGATACAGGTGAGCCATGAGCCATGTGGCAAGGTATAGATTTACAGACATGGGTTAATTTAAGATAGAATAACTAGATAGCAAGAAGCCTGCCACGGCCATACAGTTTGTAAGCAATATAAGTCTCTGTGTGTTTACTTGGTTGGGTCTGAGCCACTGCAGGACTGGAAGGTGAGAGAGATTTGTCCTGACCGTGGGCCAGGCAGAACTGGAGAAAACTCCAGCGACATCATCCCTGAAGAAAACTGACTCTCCTCCCAGCAGCCACCAAGTGCCAGTGGCTCCTCAGGCAGTGGTAAGACGTCATGTGCTGGGAGATCCACGCTGGGATGTTAGCTGGCTTCATCTTGTGCAAGCCTGGCATACGCAGAAAGGACTGACATTCTAAAATCTCCTATGAGACCTTCTATCTTATTTCTTCTACAATCTAACAATGACACTGACCAACCAGCTCCAGTGGGGAAAAGACCAGCCAGGTCCTCACAGTTACTATGGGAACCCCTGGCGAAGGCCCGCAAGTCCATGCTAGACCCTTCGAGGGAAGGAAGCACTCCCTTCTGACCTCAGGTTGTGATGAACGCAATGGGTTCCAGAGACTAGAAGGGCTCAACAGCTAGTGTGGACTATGTCCACAGGGACTATGGCCACCGAGAGATTCAAAGTGACAGCTACATTCAGAAGGGATACAAAGGCCCACAGGCATGGGCTCTGTCTAGTCTTCCAGCATAGTCTCCCAACCCAAGCCCTTAATTCAGTTCAACATGGAATCTGTTGATATCCAATGAATCAATGAATCCCCATATCCAAAAACACAGGGCCAAAATCCATATCCTCAAAATCCCGTAAGCCACAAGTATTCTGGAACACTCCCATCAGACATTTTCTCCCCAAAATTCCAACATGAATGATGACTTCTGTTTAGGAAGACCCTCATTTGTCAGGATGCAGCCTAAAAACAGAATGGTGACCATCTTTCCTGTGCAACACCAACTGAGATACTGAGAAGGATCAGATGACATCCCTCCCAGGAGTATTGGGCACCCAGGCATAATGATCACCAAAGACGGAGCTGGAGAAACACCCAGGTCAGGAGCTGAGCAAGCCTACAGTCTTGTCTACCAGCGTTTATATTCTGCAAACAGCATTTGGTAGCTGAGCCACACAGCAGCTTCCACGTCTTCATAGTGATTACTTCCCTGGGTCAGAAACAAAGTAAGTGTGTCCCCATCTCTCCCCAGCTCCTCATCCTCAAACCTCACGGTAAGGAAGCTAGCTGTGAAGAGAGAATGAAGTGCGCCCCCTCCCAAAGTTCATTTCTGGAACTCAAGGGATGAACTAGCCTCTATTTATACTTAACTTTCTCTCTGATCTGAACACACCCATGGGGCTTTTCCTTTGCCACCTCACACTCTGTCACGCTTACTGCGCCTGGCATCTCTCCCTTCATAATGGTTCCATCTTGGCTCACCACATGACACCTGCCTCTCCCCTACCCAACCCTCCCTCATGCTGACCCCAAAGCCTTCTCTAATACTCAACAGCACTAATCAGGAAAGTGAGGCTTAGGGGACTGAATATCTCACCCAAAGCTCAGAGACGATGCATGGCGGAGCTGGAATGTCAACCCACACAGCCACACAGCGTTGCTTGAGGACTCAAGCAGGGCCTCATCTCCAAGGCCTCTCAAATCATTAGTCATTCATCTGAACCACCTCAGCACTAGCCTTGCTCAGAATTTCATCACTTCACATCTGGACATCCACAGTAGCCTCCTACATGATATTTTCCTGTGCCTAGATAATGTCATGAACTGAACTATGCCCCCTCAAGATTCCTATGTTGGGAACCCCTGCCCCAGTACTTCAGAATGTAATTGTATTTGGAAATCACATCTTTAAAGAGTGGAGCAAGTTAAAAAATGAGGACATCAGGATGCACTCAATCCAACTGTGTCCAGACAAGACGAAGACACAGACAGAGCGAGGATGTGAAGACAGAGCAAAGGCAGCCATTTCCAAGCCAGGAGAGGAAGGCCTCAGAAGAGACCAACCCTGAACACCTTGACCTTGAACCCCCATCACTCAGCCCATAGAGCTTTGTTATGGCAACCCTAGCAAAGTAACACAGATAAGAACATAAAACTAGGCGTCAACCTGACCCCTGGGGGTAAAGTCCACGCCCTCTAGCCTGGTATCCTATCTCTGCTATTACACTAGCCCGACTGACCAAGCCAACTTAGAGAGTTTGAGATATTCTTTGGAGCAGAGGCTATGAAGGACACTCAGAGTCCCCATATTGAGATCTCAGTCCACAGCTTCTGGGTATAGTAACTGGCGAAAGCTCACAGCCAACCCTTCTCTAGAGAATGGCCCTCAGCAGACAAAGCTACCTCTCCTAGGAAGGGCCAGCAGGCCTGCAGCTGACTGATTACACACAGCACTCTGTCTCGACCCTTGGTCCCATACAGGGGGCCATGCCTGGACTTGTCCTCCTCTACCCTTAAACACCACTTTGACAGGAATCACAACTCTGCCTCTAAGAACCCAACCTAAGACATCCTCTGCCTGATGGCCACGTATCTGTGTTGTTGGGGGTGGTGGGTTGCATGGGTTTAAAGAATAAAACGCACCCTCATCTGCCAGTGCAGACCCCACTGCTGTGGGATGGTCTGTATGGCAAATGTGTTGCTCTGATTAGTCAATAAATAAAACACTGATTGGCCATTGGCTAGGCAGGAAGTGTAGGCAGGACAAGGAGGAGAATAAAGCTGGGAAGTGGAAGGCTGAGTCAGAGAGACACTGCCAGCCGCCACAATGACAAACAGCATGTGAAGATGCCGGTAAGCCACGAGCCATGTGGCAAGGTATAGAATAATGGAAATGGATTAATTTAAGCTGTAAGAATAGTTAGCAAGAAGCCTGCCACGGCCATATAGTTTGTAACCAATATAAGTCTGTGTTTACTTGGTCAGGTCTGAGCGGCTGTGGGACTGGCAGGTGAGAGAGATTTGTCCTGACTGTGGGCCAGGCAGGAAAACTCAAGCTACACCCCACCCCCTTCCTTCTCATCAGCAAGAGGCACCTCACCTACGCAATCCCTACCGCTCTCTCTGTCACAACTCTCTAGAGGATGACAACAGTCAACACGAAGTGATTCCTGAGGGCCGCTGAGAGAATAGACTAAAACATTTTCAGCACAAACAGCAGTGAAGTCATATGTGCATTAATAACAACACAAACCAATTTTGAAATGCTGCACCGTAGAGCAAAATGTGTATGTAGTTTAGGTGTGTCGATAGTTTTTCTCATTTTTGAACACATTTATTTATATTTACGTTTTGAATACTTTATATACATGGGTGGTCTGGGGCATGTCAGTACACCGAATGCATGCAGTGACCACGGAGGCCAGAGGAAGGCGTTGGATACCCTGGACTAGAGTTACAGACAGTGTGAGCTGCCTGCCATGTGGGTGCTGGGAATGGAACCCAAGTCCCATGGAAGTGCTCTTAACTGCTGAGACACCTCTCCCGTCCCCTCTCTTTAATTTTAAAGCATAAATCCTGTGTCCCACCTGCTCCACCCTCTACTTTGAGCTGCTGATTTCCACTCTGCTCTCTATGCCTGTGAATACATTTGCAGCCTTATGTTATAAAGTGCTCAGACATACAGCCACAGGCAGCCCTGCAAACAAAACACCATCTGAGATTTAAGGAGCTTTTCGAGCAGAGGAGGTACTCCTGCTGGTGGTAGGGGCGCACACCACCACATTTGGCTTAAGGACTTTTCTAAAAGCAAAAGCAAACGTTTAAAATATTATTGGGAAGTGAAAACTAAGAATCAGTGGCTAAAGAGGGGTCCCGTTGAGGCTGCAGAGGTGTCACTGAGCCCCTTAAGCTCAGTCGAGACAATAAAGGTCCTTAATGCTTACAGAAGCTTTAAATCATAGAGCTCACCTATAAAGCCGGCTTGTTTGTTATACACCGGCATGGGCTGGGGATTCTGAACCGTGCCTAAGCAATGGTGTGGTGCCACTTCCCACTGCCTGAGCTAAATTCTCCTTCCCCAACCTGCTCTTTGGCAAAGTCCTGCTAAGGACTCAGCAGTGCAGGGGAGCCCTATATTCAGGGTTCAAGTCCTGTGTAGTGCATCGAGTGCTGACTGTTATTTCCCCACAATTGAAACATTCCTCCTAGAAGAAAAAGGGAGGCTCTTAAGAACTGGAAAGCAAGCCAAGGGCGGTGGTGCCGAACACCTTTAATCCCAGCACTGGGGAGACAGAGCCAGGCAGATCTCTGTGAGTTCGAGGCCAGCCTGGTCTACAGAGTGAGTTCCAGGACAGCCAGGGCTACACAGAGAAACCCTGTCTCAAAAAAACAAACAAACAAAACAACAACAACAACAATTCAGAAAGTAAACATACAAGGTTCAGGATATTCCTGAAAGTTACAAAACTCACAAGAATGTTCCCTAACATTACACAAGTAGTATCAGTTGCCAGGGAGAAGAGACGCTCTGTGGCTGACACACCTGTCTGCCAGCCACGCAAGGAATTCTAAGGATGTGTCTTTGGTGAGCTGTCACTCATGTTGGCATGGGCTCTTCAGTGGCAACGCTGAGTCGGAGTCACCACGCTCCTGTAAGTAACCCCAATAGCTGGATGTGGGTGGAATGATTTCTCTGGTTAGCCACCGGTGCCCTACCTGGGGCAAATGGACATTTGCTTGTGTCTCCCCAGGAAAGGCCACAGACCATGTTGAAAACAAGTGAGATGATCTAAAAGTGACCTTTCTACCTGTGTGGTCCACTGCGGCAGCACCAGCCATACATAGGTGACGATTCGGCACCTGGAACACGGCCAGTGAGAGGGAGGAACTGACCTTTCGACTATTTAAATAGTCACCTATGGCAAGTGGCTCCCACACTGCTCAGCAAAGACCTGGAGTTTACATTTTCATGCAAGCAGGACTAGGGAATACTGACAGGCAAACCAGCTCCTAAAAGCAATCACCCTCCATCTGAATCCTTTTTTGACAAAGTCCACTCTAGACGAAGGTCTACCATGGTCCCAGATACCTGCACGAGGGGCGGCTTCCACCGGAGGTTCTTCAGGGGGGCCGGAGTAAAGTTGAACGAGCCTATGGGCCTCTTCTTCAGCAGCAGCACCACACCCGTGGGATTCTCTCTTAACTTTCTCACCAGATTTTTCAGCTGCCACCCGACCTTGAATGAGGGAAAAGGAGGCAGGGAGAACAGCTCGTGAGCGAGCCATGAAAATCCAATCCCGGAACTTATCTCAAGGAAATTCAAGTTATGAGCAAACTGGGTCAATGCAAATATGTTCATCTTAACACTACGTCAGACACTGGAAAAAAATGGGTACAAAGTGTAGTTGTTTTTTTTTTTATAGAGAGGCTGTAAAGATAGCTCAGTCATTAAGAGCACCAGTTGCTCTTGTGGAGGACTGGAGTTTGATTCCCAGCACCCATGTTGGGTGGCTCACAATTCCCTGTAAATACAGCTCTTGGAGATCTGATGCCATGGAGATCTGGCCTCCATGAACACCTGCACGTGCACGCACGCACGCACACACACACACACACACACACACACACACACACACACACACACACACAGAGTTTTAAATGGACAGTTGTGGAGGGAAAAAAATTACATCCCAATAAATGAACTCACCACAGTCTGCCGGTTAACTTGAATGACTTCATCACCAGCGTGAATCTTCTGAGACCTGTCTGCAGGAGACTACAGAGAAAGAGAGAGACCTGGCTTAAGTGTTTGCCTCTCTCTTTCTGGCCCTTTCTTCTGTAGACAATAGCAACAGAAATAAAACTTCCTCAGAAAAATAAAAACCATCTATGAAAGTGGCCCACGGGTCTTGGCATAGGAGTCTCGTGTAATCTATTATGAGGTTGGTTGCAGCAGATGACCTCTCCATTAACACCTGAGTTCATCTAAAAAATGAAATATGTGAGTAATATTGTTGAAATGGTTAGCTGATAAAAGCCAGAAGTTCAACTATAAATAAATAAATAAATAAATAAATAAATAAATAAATAAATAAATAAATGGGAAAGTTTCACAGCTCCCCATCACCACTCACCCTGCGAAAGCGGAAGAACCATTTAATGTGTAAGGATCACTGTCATTATTAGTAAACATTAATCTTTTTTCTTTCTGGTTTTCCAAGTTACTACAATGCCATTAAAATAAGAAGTTAACAAAAACAAAAATTTTATTTCTTTAAAGAAAAAAGTTTTTTCACCATTAGGTTATAAGTGTGGCTTTAGTAAGAAAATATGAGTATGGCTTTAGTAAGAAAAAGAATTTAAGACTGGGAGATGGCTCAGCAGATAACGCGCCAACTACGCAAGAATGGGGCATAAAGTCAGGTGCCCGGGGCCCCGGTGAGGCTGGAAATAGTAAGTGTGTTCTGTGTTCCCATATAGTAAGACAAATGGCAAAGACAGGAACCTGGAAGCTCCCAGGCCAGCCTGCCTGGGGTACTCAGTGGCAAACAGGAGACACTCTCTCAAGGTCAAAGGCAAGGACTGACACTCAAGGTTGTCCTCTGACCACCACCACACACACACACACACACACATACACACAGTGTGGCATGTGCACACCCACATTCACACCCACATGAATATACAGACACACACATATCCACAAGCACACTAGTATATATACACAAAAGAGCATACACATATCATACATATCCACACACATATATACATACACACATGTATATACCACATACACACATCATACACACAGAAAGACTTTTTAAAAAGAAAAAAAAAATGAGGGGCTGGAGAGAGGACCCAGTGGTTAAGAGCACTGGCTGCTCTTCCAGAGGTCCTGAGTTCAATTCCCAGCACCCACATGGCAGTTCATAACTGTCTGTAACTCCAGTTCCAGGGAATCAGGCACCATCATACAGACACACACGGAGGCAAAACCCCAATGGACATAAAATAAAAAAAAATATAAATCTTTTTTAAAAAAGGAAAGAAAAAGAAAAAAAAAAGTATGTGTTGTTCCTCCTGAATTATGCACTGTTATTACTTTACAACAACAAATATGTTTATAAAGGGATATAAGCCACCTGTCGATGTGGCGCCGAGCACATTCCTGTTCCCTAAGTGAACAAAAACTCTTTCTGTTTAAGACATATCACATGATGAAGAGGAAAAGATAAACCTTGGGTTTCTAATTAAACACCATCTAGGTCAGAGTATTTAATTTTGTAACGTATATGAGTGGGTGAAACTTCAATTTACAGCTCTCGGAAGACAAAATAGCACCTCTGAACATGGGGGCGGGCAACAAAACTCAAAACACACTTGCTGGATTTTTCTCACTCAACCGCTGTGATAGGCTTAACAAGAAATTAGCCGGCAGCATTAAACTGTGGAAACAGTGCCTCTGCTTCTATCAAGGCTCAGCTGAAGGCACAGGTAACTACGCTGGTTATTTTCAAAATAGCTCATCCGTTGCCATAACAACAGCAGTGCCTCAGCGGAGACTAGGAGACTAGCAACCAGCTCAACACTGGGAGGAGACACCAACCTAGAGCCTCTTCCTCTTGGGTTGCTTTTTAAAGATGAATGCTGCCTTCTGCACCCGTGTGTCAACTGCTGGAGTTAAGTCTGACCCCTCAGAAAGCACCACCATCTTAGCCTCCATGAGCGGAGGATTCATTTGAGGCAAGCTTCATTTTATAAGACATGGCCCCAAGGCCAGGAAGTCCCTGTTTATAGATCTTAAAACACGTGAACTACTGTCCTCAACTGACTCCCTTCCCAAGGATCCTCGTGTCTTCATTTCTCAAATGTCCCATCAAGAGATTCAGGGCTGCGTTTGGCAGAACACTGATAAACAGGGAGCCTGATACCAACATTTTCCCCAAGTCAGGAGCTCCTGCCTATCTTCACCATGAGTCGGACTACAGAAAAAATAATGCCTCTTGCGGTGTGCCCTCAGAAAGGGCAGAACAATGCCCCATTCTTCTGAAGCACATCTCGCTCCCACGAGAGAAGGTTGTTTAGGTTCCTGAATAAGATCGCAACATCCAAAAAGAAGTCTGATAAACAACACCTCGGAACGATCTGTCTGACCCTGACTGCTGAGGTCACTCCAACAACACGAACTGCACTGCAAAGAATGGCCTGCTGGCTTTGTATCACCCTGGAGCCCAGGATGGAGACACACAGAACTAGAAAAGCCATGGGAGATCTCTGCCCACCGCTGCTCCCCTTCATCCAAACTTTTTAAGTGAAATTACAGTTACCTCTGTTGACAGTTCAAGAGCTGATCTGGAGCTGGCATTTCCTACTGCCAACCAAGTATAAAATATCCATGAATCTGTACAAAGCGCCCAGAGCATGCCCTTGAGAAGTGACGTCGTGACTACTTCCTGGCCACAGCTACAAGACTTAGCCCAGGGTCTTGCGCATGCCAGGCCCTCAACAAATGCATGGTGAATGGCTAAAGTCATGGACAATATTTTTAATAGATCACCACATGGGATCAAATGAGTTTTTGGTTTTTCTTAACTGTTAACATGATTGTAAGTAACCCCCTCCACCCCCATCTAGGGCAACTTCCATTCAGTTCTGGAACAGACTATAGGCAGGTAAATACTAGGTCTGTGGCCCTGGTTTATGATTCCGGTAGGAATTTGGGAAAGATATATCATTATTCATAGCTGACATTTCATTTGATTCTAAGGCAACATTGTTTAGTCTCCCGTTCAACTCTTGTCTTTAAACAAAAGGGAGTAGAAGGGGAGAGTAGCAACCTGTGCCTTCTGGTGGCACCACACAAACACACCACACATTTATCATAGAGTGATGTGGCTACGCCAGGGTGAGTCTGGAAATGCCCAAGTCTGGTCAAGTCAAACAGCATAAGCACCAAGTTACAAGACCTTACAACTTCAGTCTTTAAAGACTGTAATGGTCATCATCCTTCTGAGTCCCTCCAACCAAAAACAATGTATGGAGGGGTACTTGAGTCTGTCCTTGTTGTGGTTTTGGGGGACAGCAATTCTCCAACAGGGATAAGACGTAGAGGTAAATTACATAAAGAATTATGTTTGTTCCTTTGAAAGTATGTCCGGCAGAAAATGAAAGCTTCCTGTGTCATTATTACCTATCAGGTGAGATGGTCCAGAAATTATTTGTGGGGGCTAGGGAAATAGCTCAGCAGTTAAGAACACTTACTATTACTACAGTAGACTCAGGCTTGGTTCCCAGCACCCACATCAGACAGCTCACAGCCACCTATAACTCCAGTTCCAGGGGACTTGACTCCCTCTGGCCTCTGTAGGCACCTGCACTCCTGTGGTGCATATAAACTCATGCAGGCACACAGGCGCGCGCACACACACACACACACACACACACACACACACACACACACACACACACAGTTTAACTAACTTAAAAATTCCTCTTGATTCTCAGGATTTTTATTTTCTGACAGGGAATACTTAAAGACACACCATCTTCCACTCATCTATCAGAGATACAAGATTGATTTAGAATTTACTCACTACCTCAAGTATTGGCATTTTCTCACTATAACACTCAAGAGCTGTACAGCAAATATTCATCAAAGCTCATGTCACATTTTATCAAAAGGCCTACTATGAAACTTAAATCAGACACATATTTTCACCACACCGGAAGGGGGAAAACTGCTGAATTTCCCCCTATATTTCGAATTATCTCCTCCCTCATTGATTGACTAAACAGGCTCATGGCTCAAACACTTGCTTCTTTCACAGAGGCAGAGGGTAGCTGTTGAAATATTCCTACTACTTCATGCCAATGTCACTCAAAAGCTAGCCACAGTTTAGGTTGCAAGAGAAAATACATTTACCTAGCTCTACTTTTTTCAAATTCATCATGTTAGTGAAGATAATGAGTAATCCCAGGGTTGGGGAGATGGCTCCGTGAGGGAAGTGTTTGCTGTGCACACCTGGGACCTGAGTTCAGATCTCCAGCATCCGGGTAAAAAGCTAGGCACAATGGTACGCTCCTATAACCCTAGAGCCAAGGGACACAGACATAGGAGAAATCCTGAGACTTGCCGGCCAGCTGGTCTGCCAATCAGTGACATCCTATACTCAAAAAATAAAGTAGAGGGCAACTGAGGAAAACACCCAACACCGACTTCTGCCCTCCACACAGATGCACACCCATATACATGAGCACACACACAAACATGTGTACACACACACACACACACACTATACACATGGTCACCAACCCCAGTTCTACTGTGAGTGAGTGACTCATAACAACGAAGAGATCGTTATTTTTGTACTTTTGGGTTCACACCTCCAAGGTGCAATAGGAATAATTAGCACAAGGGTAGAGGCAGGAAAAAAAAAAAAAAAGACATGGCACATGACCCGGAGCAATAAAGGACAATTTAAATAATACATTGACAACAGCTGGTAACAGGCGGCAGCCAATCCGCCAACAGAACACACACAGCGGGCCGTCACACCGGCTCTCACACATCTCACACAGATAACATCGCGTGCGCACACATGCACGCGCACACACACACACACACACACACACACACAACCCCAAAGCTCAGAGATGTGGCGAATGTGTCAAAGCACACAAGAGCATACACACACACACACACACACACACACACCTTACAGAGGCACACTTACATTTTCTGTGGTTCCGGTGATCACATGCAATCCATCATAGGTTGATTTGATGTACATGCCCTAGAGGGAGTTGCCAACATATTAACTCATTATTCCAGCATTCACAGAGAGCTGCAGTGACACATAGACTTTCAAAACACTCAACAGTCCCTTTGGAACATCAGGTGCTTTTTTAGCTTTCCAAAACACCAGGAAACTCAATCCAAAGGGCATTGAGAAAGGGAACTAAACAACTGGACACCAGTAGAAGCAATCAGATGGGCAATCTCTTTGATATTATAATGTGTGTGCTGGGCACACAGCATCCTGCCACAACCCTAGGATGGAGGAATTTTCTCAGGCCTGCTCAGTGAGCCAGGCATTCAAACAAGGGCTCTTCTTCTCTGTCCACCGCTTTCTCCCAGGGAAACAATGTGGTTGGCTCCATCTGCTATCAGTAGTACACATGGGACGACTTATGAGAGCCTACTGTGATGCAGCCCGGGCTTGCAGGTGAAGCATGTGAACTTATACAACACGGATAGATAATCAGTAATGGACATTGCTCTATTTTAGGGAAAGCCAAAGGATGGATGAATAAATGTGTCTTCAAAGAGACACCTTTAGGCAAACTTGGGCAAAATACCACGTTACTAGATAAATATCGCTACAATTTGACAGCCCAAATATCAACGTTCTTATTGAACTATTACACGATGAGGGGAGACAGAAAAAAAGGGGCAGACAGGGCCAAATAGTAGTTTCACCCGATTATCTACACTGAACTTGTCCTGCTCTGTAGCTGACACCACTCTGCAAAAACAATCTCAGGAAACCGCAAAACCCTCAAGGTTCCCAACCATTCCTCTCCAGGGCTACAATGTCAAGTCAATATGTGTCTGCCCTACAGAACTGTACATCCTTCCCCCAGCCATTCTAGGATAACTCTATGGTAGGAAAGGACAACTCCATCTCGGCCCACTCAGGGCATGGATCTGATTCAACCCTTGACTACAAACTCATACCCAGGAATTCTTAAAGCTATGCTAATCCACCCTCTACTTTAGAGCCAAGTAAGAGTGTACTTCTACCCACTGAGAAGATGGGCTTGTTGACAGTGATTTTTTTTTTTTGCTTTCCTATTTAAGAGACTGTCTTAATATTCCTCACAACAATGTATACTTCAATGACTCCAACCTCCTCCTTTATGTCCATCACCGTCACCAGCATCAGTAGTGACAGCCCCCCACTGCACAAGTTCTATGCTCTTAGCACTGGGCACTTGGTATCATCACCCAGGGCCAGCCGCTCAGCAGGCCTATGAGAAAGCCCACATGCAAAAGCTCTCTGATGTAAAGGCTCTATGCTAGCCAATGAGCTTCATGGGTTTCTGTAGCTCTGCAAATTAATACCCCCCCGCCCCCGTGAGAAGTCACCTGCAGGCGTCCTGAGAGCCCGCCATGATATATCTGACACAGGATGAAAGAAACATTTCTGAAATTTTCTTAGGAATCTTTTCCTTCCATCAGCCTCCTCACAGCCATCTTAAGTGATAGAGACTTTCAGAATGGATGCCGTTTTGTTCCCACAGACCATCTCTCCTTTGTGGAAACGTTTTCTATTTCCTTACATTGCTAAGCACTAAAAATAAATCCTAAGATGGGAGGGTAAAGTTTTTAAATTGTGTTTGTTTTTATGCTTGAAAGATAATTAACAGTTTAAGATGGCAAGTCCCTAACTATATAATAAATATAATATAATATAAATTAACATAATATAATACAATACAATACATCTCTGCTACTCAGAGTTACAGTGAAAACAGTAAGACGTAGTTTATTTAACGCTTAAAAACCAAGAGAATTCTTACCAGGCCTTCCCCGGGTCTAACATTCGGTAAGTGAACTTCCTCCAGGCATGCACACTGGCTCATCACAGGGTCTGTAGTAGAGCGCACTGTTTTATCACAGATGCCATTTAAAACCTTGACCTGGAATTGAGGGAGTTCAATCATTAACCAGGTTTATCTCAAAATGATCTGTAGAGAAACGCACCTCACACATCATCTCTGGCTCTGGCCAGCCCTCACTATGATAATCCTGCTCAATGAACGCCTGGCATTTGGACTCTGTGTCCTACAATCTGTGGGAATGTTGCTACTGTTTCCGCTTTCTAAAACAGCCTGGCTTTTATAATCAATCCTTTATGGCCGACCACTGGAAAGCACAAGACAGGAAGAAACCCCTTTGGCAGAGAAGGAGAAGTCCTCAGCCACCTAACAGCTTATTACTGTAGGGGTCACGCACACTCTCTTAAATACTAAATACTGACAAGGGAGAAAGATATTTCACTCTAAATCATATTGTTTTGTTGTTGTTGTTGTTGTTGTTGTTTTGTTTTGTTTTTAATATACTTCAGGTTTGCAAGGTTCGGGGAGGGGATCAAGCCACAAATGCATGGGATTTTGACAGACCTCTCTCTGTGCCAGCCTTCCCCATGACTAACATCTATATGGTATTGTCCGTTTTTACAGCTGATGAACCAATATTTAGATCCATAATTTTAAGCAGTATTCACTTTTGTGCTGTATTTCCTAGAGGTTTTGGCAAACATTTAATGTTTTATATCCATTATAAAAGCATCCGATGGGGTAATTTCATCACCACCGGTGTCCCCAAGCTCAACATCATCCATTTCATCCTTCCTTGCCCTGGCCTCCTGGCCAGCATTGACCTTTTCGCTGTCTCTATGGCTTTGCTTTCTCTAGAGGATCAACCGGCTGGAATTACACAGCATGCAGCCTTTTCTTACTGGCTTACTTCAGTTAACAATATACCTTTAAATTTTCTCTATATCTTTTCACAATTTGATAGCACATTTCTTCTTACTGTTAAGTAATATTCTACGTAATGAATATTCCATATTTGTCTCTCCATTCAGCTATAAAAAGACAGCTTGTCTCCTTCCATTTGGGGGCAATTAGGAATATAGCTACCATAAACATTACGTGCAATTCAGGGCAGATTTTGGTTGACATTGAGTTTACAACTCCCTTGGGTAAACACCCAACAGTGTAACTGGTAGATCACACAGTTAGAATACCATTAGTTTGGTGACTACCTGCCAAACTGTCCTCTAAATTGCTCTAATTCCTCATCCCTCCCAGCAACAAGTGACCATGCTCCATAGTCGCCCACGTTTGCTGTGGTCAGTTCTGAATTTCAGCCAGCTCTAGTAAGCATGGAGTGGTGAGTGTGTCCTGGTTTCAGGTATAATTCCCTAATCACAAATGACCAAGTTTCTTGTGTTATCTGCCCTCTCCATGTCTCCTTTGGGTGAAGTGTCTCTTCAAGTCTGTTTTTAGCTGGACCGTTTTCTTATTACCGAGTTTTAAGACGCGTTTGAATATTTTGATTCTGTCCTTTAAAATGTTTTCAATATCTTCTCCCTGCACCTTGTGTCTTGACACCCTACTGTCTTCAAAGTGAATCTCACCGGAGGGAAATCTCTGATTTTAATGGAGTCCACTGTTACTTCTTCTTTGCTAGACTCTTCTTGTCGTTTTCTATCTAAGAACTCCTCTGAACCCCAGATCACCTAGATCTCCCCCATAACATCTCAGTTCTATCGTGTCATGTTCTGCATCTTTAGCCCCATGGCCTCAATGACCCCTCCCTGTCACTCTTAGCCAGGAGAGTACCCACAGGGAGCAGCCTTCCTGGGGAGGCCATCGGGGCTATGCACGTTTTCTCACAATCAGAGCATCTATCTACCCGCCCGAAATCCAATGAGCAAAGGCATCCGGAAATTCCAAAGGGTGACTTTTCTTTCCAAGGTGGAGAATCCATGAGGTGGAACTTTTACACGTCCCTCCAGTTTTGTTTAAGCTTCCCTATTTATGGAAAATATATTTATAGCAGTTTCATTGCCAAATTCCTCAACCCAACAGGGGGAGGGCTTTTATCAAAAGGGCACAGGCTGCTTGTGTCAAAAGGAGGAAGCGATGATGAATCCTTCCAGAATGCTCTTTACATAGCCATAGTACATGCCCCTCCCCCGTCGTGAAGTGTCTGCCAAGGTATTTTTCTAAACTGAGATAGTTCTTCAGTGAAGTACGGACATCATTCTCACCCGGATTTGTCCGCTAATGCTAACTAAGCAGCTGCCGCATAATTGTGCCCTGCTGAACTGTCCAGAAGGAACAACAGTAAAACTCAAACAGAAGCGGAGACCCCAGCACAGGCAGAAAGTGCAGGAAGTTTCATGAGCAGTGCTCTCCTCAGACAGCCTGTGCTCTTCCATGAGCATTAGCGGGCTCAAACCCCCACAGTCAGTACTCCCAAATTCATCTTGACATGATGAGCCAGTGCATGTAATTAATGTGATTCCTATTGCCTTTGGAAAAGTGAACTAACTACACGGCAACTTTTAGAAAATACACTTACCACATTTAAAACTTTATCCTCCATCTCTGCTACGACGCAATCCTAAAGAAGAGAAGAAGAGAAACAAGTGTAAGAACGAAAAACTTAAAGAAGATTTCACACAGCTGGTGGTAACGCAGCCCCAACTCATGTGTCTGTAACACAGCTCCTTCACCTAGCACTCAGGGGAAAAAATCCAGGAAGAGGGAGGGGGCAGAGAGATTTTTAAGAGCCACCAGATCAGGATGCCTGCTGCCCAACAGTGTCTTCTAGATGGGACAGGGAAGCGGCACCCATGAATCTTAACAGTATGGTTGTCTACACAAGACCCACAGTATGACCACACCAACTGACAAGACAGCACGGATGAGAAGACGGCACACTGCCCAAGGAGAGCCACAGGCGGTCGGTGGAAGGAAGACCTGTTTCCTCCAGGGATGAGCCAAGCCCAGTGGCCGCCCCTAGAAACATGTACATATGTGCAATACTAAAGGGGTTTGGTAGGGTGTGTGTGTGTGTGTGTGTGTGTGTGTGTATGTGTATAATGACAACTTCACCTCGTTAATTTGAGACAAAGTAGGCAAGACATGGGAGGGGTTGGAGGGGGCAGAGGGAAGGATGAAAATGAACGTAAATACAGATTTGAGTATGAAATCATGAGAGAAATTTAAAAATCAAATTAAAAATAAATCCTTTTAAAAAAAATGGCTTAGATCTTTCTAGAAATCACAAGGTCCCTGACATATCTTACTACCTACCACCACTGCCCTCAGCCTGTTCTGGCAGATATGGATATGGAAGTGGGGACAGAGAGGAAATGTCAGAGTGGAGCTGACATTGCTCTTCTCCTACGGCTCTGGTCTCTTCTAACCCATGTGACTCATTTTCACAGGTTTTGAAAGTCTATTTAAAAAAACAAAAACAAAAACAAAAACCTACAAACTGGGAGCATAGAGCTCGGTAAAGGAGTCCTTGCCTAGCATGCACACGGCAAGGCCCTGGGTTCTAGTCCTGTTACCAAACAAACGACAGAACTGAAATCTATGTACAGGCCAGTCTGTAATGACAAATTCAAGAATCCTGTCCACGGTTCCCAGTGTGACCCCAGGCTCAGTGAGCTGTGGGCCAACAAGCCAGCAGCCCTCAGCTTAAGTCCTGTCTATAAGAGTAGCTTTCTTAAAATAAGGTCGTGGGTAAACTCAGCCACAAAAGTTTATTTTAAGCGCCAGTGAGATTAAATCACATACTTCAGCCCTTAGAAGATGAAGACAGTTTAACAAAACATTCATTAACACACTGCCAAAAAAGTGGTCTTGAGGTATGCTATTGATGACATTAAATAAAGGGCTGGAATGCAAAGCATTATTTTCTCAGCTAAAGAACAAAAGGCTGAAGCACTGTGCCAGCGGGGTTAGCCGATTACAGGCATCACCATTGTCCTCTTTCTCCAGAAGCCACCAAAGTGAAGCTGACCACGTGAGACCTCCACAGGTAGCCTTCTAGAACCATCCGCAACCCAGACCACAAGGTGAGTGAGAGGAAATCGGAGGGGCAGCTTCTTCTTTGTTCATAGATTTATTCATTTTATTACACACGTGAGTGTTTTGCCCACATATATGTCTGTGCGCCATGCGCATGTTTTGTGCCCTTGAAGACCAGAAGAGGGCCCTAAATCCCCTGGAACTGGAGTGGTGGATGCTTGTGAACCAAGAGGATGCTGGGAATCCAACAGGCGCTCTTAACAGCTGTCGTCTCTCAGCTCAGAGACCGACCTGGTTTCTTTAATTTATTTTGTACCACTGAGTACAAGCCCGCCCTGAGCCAATCTTGAAATTAATGCTGATAAAAGTTTCAGGTGTGCAGAAAAAATAACAATCAGAGCTGAATTTACCAGGTAACGATTTTCATTTAGGTTGAAATGTCATGTTTAGGTCACTTTTCTCAACTAGTTTTTATCCTGGATGATTTCAGAATCAAGATTTCCTTATCGTCTTAGAACTTTAAAATTTTTCTCTACCAGATAAAAATAAGAGAATCAATAAAAGCTATGTTACTGCTCCCAAAATTGATGTGCACTCTCAGGAAAAAAAGCAACCTGGGGGAAAAATTTTAAGAAACTTAGAAATACATTTTTCCACAAGCATGACTCTGATACAAACCTAAGCTACATGAGCAATTTTGTAAACCATGAGTAACTGCCGCTTGGAGATGTATTTGTGTGCCTGTACTTCATGCATAGAAACTAAACCATCTGTTTCCCTCACAGGTCATCGACAGTTACTACAGAGAGTTGCTACATAAACAGCAACTCTGGAAACTGTTCATTCGCGTGGCCTTGGGATGCCGATATAACTAACCATCTAAGAAAGGCGGTCTCCAGGCTTCCTGGGAGACTGGACCTGCTCTTGGTTGCTGGCGCCACTGACTGACCTAGTCTACCATCTCAAACTCCCACTGCCACAGCCAGGGTCTCTGTGCCATGTCTTCCCGCCTGTGACGTGGTGGGTGACAGTCTGCAAGGAAGGCGGGAGACCACCTTTCTCAGACTGTTGGTTATATATGCCACTCCTCCTACACCAGGGCACGTGAGTCAAGGCTGAGGTGTGACCCATTGGTTCCTGATACTTGGTTCTTCGGAACCCATCCATCTAAATGGGCTTCCTGTCACGGAGACTGACCAACGGGTACTGTTCAAGCCAGTGTGTGAACAGACAGACTCACTCATTACCCTCCACCCAGGGCATGGTGGCTTCCCACACCCATTCCTCCCCGCCCCAAAAGGAAACAGCTGCAGGCATGACTTCACATCATCTGACGAGGTAGTGAGGGGAAGGAAGAGACCCTTCCTGAACAAGTCACCCCCTCATGAGTCACACACTGAAGCTCAGCTTGATGACAGCCCCTGGTCACCTGGATCAGCAGTCAGGGCCTCCCAGGGCAGCCAGCAGCTTATCCCGGGTGGGTCCCTCTGTCTTCTGTCCTCATTCTACCTCCTCAGGAACGGAGCAGCCCTGTGCAGCCTGCTCAACCTCTCTGTCTCTCTTTCCCGCTGCTCAGTAAAATAAGCCGGCAAGGAGGCATCTCAGCAAACTGCTGGGAACTCCATGTGACCACGGGGCTCAACCATGAGGACACACCAGACACGCAATTCCCACTCAGTAACAGTGTCTCCCTCTGCTCCGTCCTGCTCCCGTGGGCTCAAATACTGCTGCCTTGCTCTGGTTCCTACCGCCACCTCTTCCTTCTTACTGTACCATTACACTTTTATGTCTTCAAGTCATTAAACGGGTTCATCCAATCGGCAATGTGGCTCCCAATCCCCTTCTGCCTGTGTCCTTCATCTCATGCTATACCCTCAACACCGGGCAAGAGGACTGGTCCTTGTGCTCGGTGTAGGCTGCAGCAGATGCAGCCCTGGGAGTGCGCAGACACGCAGTGTCGTGAACAGAAAAGCAGCAGTGTGCATCCCCCTTCACCCCTGCGAGGAGAGATGCCCCTGCTGGGAAAAACAGAGAGGAAACGCCAGCCCGCAGAAGAGGTCAAGGAAGGCAAGGGAAAGTGGTGTGTCTCTGTAAACAGGGGCCTGAGATGCGGGACTCCGGTGAAACACGCTCCTGTCCCTGCAGAGGAAACGACAGCTCCTAGTCCTTCAAGTCCCCAGCTCAAAGGAAAAGACGGGACCGAAGGAGGGAGAGAGGGCGCAGTTTCTGAAACAGTTCATCTTGTAGCTGCCACTATGCTGCACTGGAGATGACAGTGAAATCACTCACCAAGCTGGGTGTGTGTGTGCATGTGCGTGTGCATGTGCGTGTGTGTATGTGCGTGTGTGTGTGTGTGTGTGTGTGTGTGTGAGAGACACTGAACTCACTCTCCAAGCTGGTAGCTCTGTGTGTGTGTGTGTGTGTGTGTGTGTGTGTGTGTGTGTGACACTGAACTCACTCTCCAAGCTGGTTGCTCTGGGTGTGTGTGTGTGCATGTGTGTGTGCATGTGTGACACTGAACTCACTCACTATGCTAGTTGTTCTGTGTGTGTGTGTGTGTGTGTGTCACTGAACTCACTCACCAAGCTGGTTGCTCTGGGGGGGGGGGGGTGCGCGCGTGCGAGACAGACAGACAGACACTGAACTCACCAAGCTGGTTGCTCTGTGTGTGTGTGTGTTTGTACACATGTTCATAGGCATGTGTATGCCCAGACACACTAATGACACTCACCAAAAAAAAAAATGGTGTTTTCAATTACTATAAAAAACAAATTATGGTCAAGAACCAAGGACCTATCTTTCCCAAAGTTCAGAAAGTAACATCCCATGCATATTTATATGTCTTTAGTCTTCTTCCTTAAAAAGTGTGTGTGTGTGTATGTGTGTATGTATATTCATTCATATGTATATATTCATACTCATGTATATATACATATTCTTATGCATATAAACACATACATTCATGTGTATAAACATATTCTTATGTATAGATACATATTCATTCACTTACACATAAACATGAATGAACTGTCAAAGACCAAATTCAATCAAAGTTATGAAAACATATTTAAATTAAAAATTTAAGTTCCAGAAAATGAGGGCAGCCTATATATTTCCCTAGTTCTCCTTAAATTATCAAGTCTGATTCTGGGAAACAATATTTCCCAAAAATACCCAAAAGGTGAGGTCTTCACATCCCGCTTGAACGTACTCTCTGGGGCAGCGCCTCGCTTCCTACGTTGTAGCACACATCACCTTCAAGACAGTCCTGGAGGCCGATGCCATTTCTAAAACAGAGTCTCTCATTCTGCTCAGTGCTTGGACTTTGCTATGTGAGGGAGCACTTGCCTCGTGTACATGAAGACGCCCTGCACTCTAGTCCCAGCACCACACACAAATATATAAGAAACCCACATTCATTCATATTATTTATTATATCTAATTTTTACATGTGTGTGGTCATACAGATGACTTTTGTAAGTGAAACATCTCTCTCTCTCTCCCTTCCTTCGCTTACTCCACTACCCCCTCTGTCCACCTCTTTCCCTGCCAGCAAAACAACTTCGCTCTCAAATTACCCGCTATATTCACATACAGGTTTATGGATATCTGACTATATTTGTATATATGTGCATATACATATGTACATATGCTCATTTAAAATATTTTAAGCATCATTTTTCCTCACATCAAAAAAAAAGGTAGCCCTGGCTGCACTGAAACTCACACTGGAGATCAAGCTGGCTCTAATTCACAAAAATCTGCCTGCCTCTGCCTCCCAAGTGCTGGAATTAAAGGCATGAATCCTCACTTCTGCCATTTCACATCTCATTTTTATAATGCCTTTCTTCTTACTCAAAAGTGGGATGGAGGAGGGAATTTACAGGAATTCCATGAGGCCATCTAATAAGGCAAACATCAGTGTCCTCATTTCACAGATAACAGTGAAACCTCATGACTCTGAAATGACTTGTTCAGGGCCCAGGGCTAATCTGTGGTAGAGATGGGATTTGAACCTATGAAGACTATGCTCTTAGACATTAGACTAACTCCCCCAGTGAGTGCCACAGGGAAGCAGAAGCAAATGGTCCACACTCACACTAACAAGCACGTGCCTCTCCTGACCCTCGAGTGCAAGGTTCAATCTCTCCTGACAAAAGACGAATTCCATCAGCCTCTTGAGTGACAGCTGCCTATCTCCCCAGTGAAATGCACTTTGAAAATCACCCTTCATCACGTGCCACGTGCCATGAGGCCCCAGTGGGCAGGAACAAGTACAGAAAGGCACTCCGTAGAAGGCACAGCCACACTGGACCTGGACCTCCCAGCTGGAAGGGGACATTTTTTCCAGTCATCAGTGCATAGTGATCGATAGCTCTCTACCTACAAAAAAAAGCTTCAAACTGGGGTCCTGCAACAGGCCCACCCTGGCAGGTAAGCGCATCTTCACAGATCAGTTATGCCGATGTCATCCTCTCAGCAAGGCTTATGGCAGCCACGGATGCCAGCCATCTTGCCTCTCCATCCCGCGCCCCTGACGCCTCAGCTTGCTGACTTTATGTAACTTCATACAAATGTAACTTTGCTTACTGACCTCGTTTCTTGCTTCTCTTTGCCCCAGACACTAAGTTCATTGAGTCACAGACATCCCATCTGTTTATCCACTCTGGCACCCGGTGCCTAGAACAGTGGCCATCACAGATGCCAAGGAAATATTTATTGAAGGAACTTGTCCCAGTGCCTGCAAAGCCAACACTAACCTGCTCAGGCAAAGCCTACTCATCCTGTAAAAACAAACACCATCGCATCTGCCCCCTGCCTCCTCCCTTCCCCTCCACTCCCCATGCTCCACAGCGGCAGCCCAAGTCAGGCTCACCAACTAGGACCCGTCACAGAATAACACAGGTGTGCCTATGAGCTGAAGTGGCCCACCAGCTAATTTCATTGTTTGGCTCTTACACTTTGATGTGATGGATTGTAAGTAAACTCTGTCATAAATCAAACAAGGAATCAGAATAGTAAGGGGAGGGAAGCAGGGAAGGAAAAGAACCCTTGAGGTAGACACTGGGGAAACACAGTCTACCATTAATGACTGGTCTCAGATACCGGGGCACTCTTATATCACACTCTTATATCCATCAAAATTACCTTATGAATCATAAAAACGAGCAAAAACCACAGATCCATAGAGTGTCTCTGCGCACCTGTCAGATCCCAGGTTCCAAAGCACATGTGCCTCAAACTCAGAGGCTGCTGAGGACTAGATCTCCAATAAACGACAGGAACGAAGCCACATTTCACTCTGTGTTACAGAGGAAAACACATACACATACACACACACACACACACACACACACACACACACACACACACACACCCCTCTGCATCTGTTACTTACATGATCAGAAATAAGGGAAGGATATCTTGGTTTTTATCAGATCATCCAAAGAAACACACATCAAACCACAAAGTTTAAAAACCAAGTGGAGAGACTGAGGGATGGCTCACTGGTTAGGAGCACTTGCCAATATCACAGAGGACCCAAGTTCTATTCCCAGTATCAAACTGGGAGGTTCACAACCACCTGGAACTCCAGCTTCAAGGGATCCAATGCCCTCTTCTAGACTCTGGGCATCTGGACACATGTGCACAGACACACACATACACAGAAATAAACATACACACAGGGGAGAGAGAGAAACCCCTATTAAAATAAAAAATAAAATCTTTAAAACCAAATAGATAGGAAGAAGGAAATCCCTTCCTTGTATCTATAACAAATTCAATTAAAAATAATTTATAAGAATCTACTATATGCCAAGTAACACGACAGCACTCAGTCTCTCTCTCTCTCTCTCTCTCTCTCTCTCTCTCTCTCTCTCTCTCTCTCTCTCTCTCTCTCTCTTTTAGTAATATTATAGAAGCTAGACAAATTATAGGCTGATCTAAAATTCTGCCGGTTCTTACTAAAATATCTAGGTCTGACTGAAGAGCCATGGGGGAAACTGACATGTCAGGTCCAAACCAGAACACGGGAACCACCAAAGCTCTTTGTCTCTGCAATGGGACAACCAAAGTGGACTACTGAGTGTTTTCAGTAAGAACTGAAGTTTTCAGTAAGAACCCAAGCACATCTCCCAGTGGGATTCGTTCACTAGAAATAGTGAAGGAATAAATTGCTGAGGATTCGGGTTATTTGTTACAGCCTCACAACCTGCCCCATCCTGACCCTTAATCCCAACAACAGAGGTCAAACGAAAAGTCAGAATCATCAGGCATAGCAAAGCAACCAGAATAAAGATTGACAGTGGAAAGCACCCTCACATATCCGAAGAAATACAGAGGCATTCGTGATGATAAGACAAAAGAGGTCATTTCTGAGACTGGGGCTGCTGGTCATTTTTCACAGAAGCCATCTGTTCAAATTTAAAACCTTTCATCTCCACCAAATTCTAATGGAAGGGGAGGACAAGACACTTTGTACCCATACAGGAACCCTTGGGGAAAAAAAAAAAAAAAGAAAAAAGGTAGGAGAAAGTTCTAGAAATGATGATGTATTACTGACCTTCTGGACTGTTGTGGTCAGGTCCAAGCACAGCTGGATGATTTTCTTCTTTGTCACAGAGAAATCCGTGATCCCTGTGAACGGAGCCCTGGGAAGGAACAAGACCTCTCTTTAATGAGGGAAAGGTGACGGAGAAGGAAACCCCTGAGAGTCCCACCTTGGACGCCGGCACGCATGGCTATCCTGCAGGCTGGCTTAAGTTACCTTTCACCGTGCTATTTCTTCTGAACACATCGTATAGAAATCTGACCCTGAGAACCAGCTCATGTATCAGAAGGGGCCATACACATCGCCAAGAGAGAAAAGCAATCAACAGTACTATCTGGTTATATCACCTATGAACCACAATAACCACCACCATGGTAAAATATTCTGAAGGATCCTGGAGGTAACTAACAGCTATCTAATGGCGTGTAAGGATGATTTCATGCCTGGCACTGTAAACGTAGCCAACTACCTGTGGCTGGTGAAGCCGTGGAATCCAGAGGAGAACCCACTACTGCAGTTTCCGAAGCCAGTATAATGTCCAACTGCATTCGAAACACTCGTCCTTAAACCCCCGGGTACGGTGTAGCTCTCGACCCTCATCACATAAGCTGCTTTCACAGTAGACAGAGATCATCACAGAAAACCACGACTGGTCAAAACGCAGAAATGAACTGACCCTGGGCACCTGCCCCAACAAAGCACCTACAGCTAAGGCTCGGGAAAAACTGTGGAAGAGGATATAAAGCGAGGGGTGTGGAGGAGAGGGCAGATCCAGGAGAAGCTGGAGGGAGGCATGGGGGCTGAATACAAACAAGATACACTGTCTGAAAGCTTCAAAGAATTAATAAAAATATTGTATTGCTTTAAAAAAAAATCAAGAATCTGGATAGGGAAAAAAAAAGATAAAAAAGACAACCAAAATGAGCCAACCCAGGTCCACTAACTGCTTCATGCCAACCATACTCCAGGGCTAATGTTTAATCTCAGTAAAACAACCTTTAGCACAGTTTCACTCCCTCTGAACTTGGGTTCATTCATTCCTGCTGCTGACCTTCAGAGTAACTTCCAAAGGAACCCTAAGATCTACCTCTAACCCCTGAACTCCAGGGAGAGGGGACCTAGGGAACAATGGTTTCCCTTCCGGAGGCAGCCTTGAGGCTTCTGAGCATCTCAGGCCCTCCTTGTGCCCCAGGAAGCCTCGCATCACAGCTTACCGGTCCAGCCAAGCCAGCAAGGCCTTGGCAGAGCCTATGAGCTCCACCACAGAAGTCAGGAACTCATTAGGGGGCTTGCGGGACGTGCTCCCATCGTAAGCCGGGTTCTTCCGCCGGCTACTGATGTAATTCTGCAAATTGTGGGAAGACGCTCGAAGTTTCAGAACCAAGTTCTTCATGTTATCGGTTTCAAGGCCATAATTCTGTGGGAAATAAAATCAAAGGAAAGGATTTAAAACTATCAACAATGTCTAAACTCTCAAAGGGCTGAGTTGCTGGAGTAACTTATCCAACCCCCACAGAATCCTGCCCACTCCACCCGCCTGCCCACAAGCTAGCCTTTACTCTACTCTTCCCTTGGCCTCCTCTGCCTCAAGGGGCTTGACTCTCCCAAGATCCTCATCTCAAAATGCTCTTCATATGGATAGAAGCAAGGAGAGGTCACTCCTATCTCTCAGGCCTGGACAGATGTTCCCTCCTGGGCCAGGACTCTTGACCACTAAGGTCAGAGCAGGTTTCAGCTAACTGATGTGTGGGAGGGTAACTCTAGTGAGGAAAGCTCTCATACATGGCAGGATGCTAGCAAACACACACTACACACACACACACACACACACACACACACCAGATATAAGCTACTTACTCCCCAGATGTGATAACCAAGAATGTCTCCCAAGCCAGGCGGTGGTGGCGCACGCCTGTAATCCCAGCACTTGGGAGGCAGAGGCAGGCGGATCTCTGTGAGTTTGAGGCCAGTCTGGGCTACAGAGTGAGATCCAGGAAAGGCGCAAAACTACACAGAGAAACCCTGTCTCGAAAAAAAAAAACAAAAACAAAATGTCTCCAAACATGTCATTGCATGTGTTCCCTGGGAGTGACATACTGCCTTCCAGCTCATCACCTACTTCTACCCCATCTGGACCACGGGCCAGGCCAGGACTCTGAATGCCCCTCACCACAGCATCACAGGTGACGAAGAGATGGCTTTCCAACAGAAGGGACTGAAAAATGGCAGCACTATCACTCACCAGTAATTTAATCTGTGCTTTTTGAACTATGTTAACTTATCTGCCTGCTTTAGAAGCATCAATTTCAAGCTAGAGGTGCAGCTCAGTGATAGAACACTTGTGTAACATGCTCGGAGCCCAAAGTATCATTTCAAGCACCACAATAAATAGATAGATGATAGATAGATAGATAGATAGATAGATAGACAGATAGATAGATAGATAGGCAATAAACAGGCAGACAGACAGATTTTGTGTAACAATATTGTCTTAGGCCCCCTTTCAGATAAAAAACAAACAAACAAACAAATAACTAAATCTGAGGTGATCTGGGGGATAGGGAAGAATATTGTATTTTGTTGTAAATACATGTCAATGTCTGATCATTTTAGCAAATAGAGGAGAGATTCCTAGAGGTATATGATACTGTCCCAGTAGAATTTCAAGGAAGGGACCTGGTGCCATTTGGGATCTGGACACAATATATTGGACACTTGGTGTATGCCAAGAACTGGGCTAAAGGCTTGACGTGTGTCCCCTGAGGGAAGTGGCTGGTGAAGGCAGACATGTGCCTGCAAGTTCAGTGTCTCTGTGAGGGTTTCTATTGCTGTGCTGAAACACCACGACCAAAAGCAAGTTAGGGAGAAAGCATTTATTTCATCTTAAGCTTATAGTCCATCATCCAGGAAGGTCAAGACAGGAATTCCAGGCAGGAACCTGGAGGCAGGAACCAATGCAGAGGCCACTGAGGGGTGCTGCTTACTGGCTTGCTCCTCATGGCTCGCTCAGCCTGCTTTCTTATAGAACCCAAGACTACCAGTCCAGGGGTGGTACTGCCCACAGTACGCTAGGTCCGCCCACGTCAATCATCAACCAAGGAAATGCACCACAGGCTGGCCCAACGGTCAGTCTGGTAGGGATATTTTCCCAACTGAGGCTCCCTTTTCCCAGATAACTCTAGCTGGTGTCAGGTTGACACAAAACTAACCAGCACATTAAGCGTCCCTTATCTTAAATACTCAGGACCAGCCATGGTTTAGTTATTGGGTGGTTTGGAATTTTGGAATATCTGCATGTACATGACATATCTTGTGGACGGGACTCGATTATAAACATAAAATAATTAATTTTTAATTTCTATACCACAGCCTGAAGGCAATCGCATATGGTATTTTTAGAGTGTTCATGTCTTGACTGTGACCCTTACAGGAGGTGAGATGAACAATTTTTACTTCTGAGCGCACGTTGACAACTCTAAATGTTTCGCAGACCTCCACTGGTCAGATGACAGACACTCGACCTGCATTACGACTACTTTAAAGCTGAGGAAACTGAGGCCCAAGAACGGTGCCTCACCAGACCGCACAGGTGACCAAAGACAAGGCTGAGGTTCCAATCAGGAGACAGCACGCAGGCCCAACCTTCGGCTCAGCGTGCTGTGTGTGCTTCCACTTCCTAACACCCTGCCCAACAGAAAGCCAAGATGTGCGATCCGCACAGGATGGACAACAGACAAGAGTAAGATAGACACACTGGGTGTGCGGGTACACACATTTCATCCAGAAATCAGGAAGCTGAGGCAGGAGCATGGACAGCTTGAAGCCAAGCTGGACTACATGACATGCCTCAGAGAGAGAGAGAGAGAGAGAGAGAGAGAGAGAAACCCAGCCAGTAACCCCAGACCTAGTACCAACTAACCAAAGACGCTTAATTCATGAACGTTGTATGTTCCCATGATCTACCACCTCTAAAGTATCAGGACATCTCTGAACTGGCTCGAGCCGCCTTGCTCTTGGGGACAAAGGGAATAATTACGCACAATCTATAAATCTAAGCATACACATATTTAGAGGTTTCCAATAACTTCCTTTTTCAGCAAGAAATGAGTTGATAACCACAAAAGAGTTTGGCTTTAGTGAAAACTACTTTAGATAGACTTTACTGGCAGTTTAAATCTGCACTGCTTCTGCCTTTAAAAAAAAGAAACAGTTTTAGGAGCTGGAGAAAACGACTTGGTGGTGAAGGTCACTGGCTGCCCTTCAGAGGACCCATGTTACAGTCCCCACACCCACATGGCAGCTCACACCCATCTGTGACTCCAGTTCCAGGGGATCAAAGGCCCTCCTCTGTCCTCTCCGGGCACTGGGCACACAGGCAGACAAAACACCCATACACACAGAATGAAAATAACTATTTTAAAAGAATTAATTTTAAAAACTTAGAGGGGAGTAGAGAGCTGGTCCAGCAGTTAATGAGTATCCACTGCTCTTGGGGAGGACCTGTGTTTGGTTCCTGGCCTCCACGTCAAGTGGCTCACAACCATCTGTAACTCCCAGCTCCAGGAGATCGGACACCTCTGGACTCATGTGCACATACCCCACACAGACACACAAATCATTTTTTTTTAATGAAATCTTTTTGTATCTTGGAAATTTTAGAAGGAATTAAGCCAAGTTTTAAAAGCTTTTATACAGTCTTTGAAAGAATACAAATTTCAAAATGTTTCCTGTATTAACATCAATATTCTATCTCAATCTTACATTCATTTACTTTTTTTTTTTTTAACCTACCACTGGCTTTTTTCTTAAAGTCTAAAATAGAATATCCTCATTCAGTGGAGAAGAGGAAATAAGGATAGGTTCCCATCATGGCTTTTTATTTCAAAGCCTCACAAATGGACGGATAAAGAGCCTACAAGACACAGCTTGTTTCGAAGGGAAGGCTTGTGTCTGGGATGCCAGGGAAGGCTCCCTCATTCTGTTAACTGCCCAGCCTGCCAACTTCTCTCAAGAGCGTTCACTAAAAGCAGGAGAGGCCGGTGTTCCGCAGCCAACCTCACCACAGATGACTTGGACTGTTCACTCCTGTATGACACTTACTTCTGGAACCCAAGGAAGATCGAAAGACATCTCACTGTTGCAGAAGACTTTAAACCCTCTTCCCTTGACAAACTTGAAAAATGAAGGTGAAATAAAATATAAAAACAAAAAAATGAAAGGGAGATGGGCGCATCTCATGACTGCAGCTCTCCATTTTCCACTGGGCTGGTTCTAACTGGTTTCTCCCCCGCTCCCGCGTGCGCCCCCCCCCCCACGCAAATAAATCATAAAACCAGAAAGATGCAGAGATGCGTGGACACTTGAGCATAGTTTTAAAAAGAGGCACAGACGGGGAGAAGGCCTCCCCTTTGTCAAACTCCACGGCCAAGAGAGAACAAGGCAGGAATGCTATTAGCTAGAAAGAACCCTACTGTAGAGACATAATCGGGAAAGGATGGCCAACTTCAGGGCCCCATAGCCAAAGGGAAAATGAAGACTTTCTCAGTCTAGTTCTGATTATCTTCATGAGTCTTCTGTCTCCTTCAGAACTGTTCTTACACAGACATCAATGTCGGACCGAGGGTGCAGTCTGGTGTCAGAGTGCGTGTTTAGCCTAAGAGGAGGATGAGAAGGAAGAGGAGGTGCAGTGAATAAACTAAGTTAGAAATGAACACATCTCTGAAAACACTCTACAGTTCCTTCTGCCTTAAGTGACCTTCTTAGGAGCCGGCCATCAGCAACTGTTGCCTGGTCTCGGTGAGAAGCTGGGAGGTTTCTGACCTTCTGGAAAGCAAAGAGGTCAGATTCTTACACTTCTAAGGCCTTACACTGACACGTACTTTAAAGGTACCACACACAGCTCTGCCTCCTCTTCCCCTAGTTCTTCAGACTCTGGTCATGCTCTAACACGTCTAACCAAGTGACACCGGATCAAAGCAATCTCACTGCCTACATCCATTAAATGGCAACCCCAGAAATAGTCACGGATAGCTTTCTGTACCTTATCAGCCCTCGGCAAGATCAAGTCAAATAAAAACTACCAGCCAAGACTCCCCTGCTGCGAAGCATCTCTCCAACAGAGAGAGAAAACTTTTTTGAATGATGTGCCACATGGGTAAATGGTCACCAATGAATGGACTGAGGGGGACCTCATGCAGGTATGCCATGCTGATTCATACAGCGATGTCCCTGAACCACAAACTTGGGGTGGCATCACTGAACCCTGGTACTGACTCCAATCCTGTTCACCCCTCATCCTCCTTTAACCTTAAAAACACATTCCTTCCATCTCCATCCTCAGGAAACCAGCGCTTCACCGATATTTTGCAGGGAATGTGGGTCTCCGTGACGCTTCTTATTGCATGTTTCCGGCCAATGCTGTCCAACCAAACTGTCTGCGGTTCTGTGATCCCATCTGGTAGCCACTGCGACTCACAACTCCTGAGTACTCTCGACAGAGAAAGCACAATGCAGAGTCCACTTTGGTTTATTTTCGTTAGTCCTCACATAAAGCACTCAAATGTGGCAGTAGCTCCCTCACGAGAACAGGATAGGTAGAGAGTGTGCAGTCATCCTCTACCCCAGCAAGGGGGTGGGCCTTGAACTGGGGATGGTATCCCCTCCTCACCCTCTGGCTACGATACACCAGTTTGGAGAATTCTTCTCTCTGGGTTTAGGTCCCTCCCCATTCTATCTGTCCTTATCATAGCTCCAAAACCTTCCAGTGAGCCCAGTGGAACACCCCCGACCCTGGCCATCCTTTCTTAACCCAACTTCTGTTCACTTCCTGCCCATTTAAAAAAAAAAAAATCAACATCCACTACAGCAAGTTTGCCTAGAAACCTCTTTACAGCACCAGGGCCAACCACAGCTCCACACTAATTCCCCAGCAAATGAATTATTCAAAGCAAAACATTCTCACTCATGGAGCCATCCAAAGACCATCAAGGCATCAGATTAAATAAACTATAATTATGCTGTGTTATAATAGTATTTTATAGAAGATTATATGTAGAGAGATTTAATAAAACTATATTAGACTCTCTCCTACCTAGGGGGGAAAAAAACCACTTTCACTTGCAGACACTGGTGGCGGTCACCCCTCAGCCCCCCTTGCAACGCAGTCAGGGGAGTGCTGTAAGAGAGTAGGTCCCCAGTGGGACTGAGGTCAGAGCCTGGTCTACAGAGGAAATCAGTAGGAAATTGTAGGAGATAAAACACAGCTTTAGGTTCTGGCCCTGGTCCAGCTTTGTTCATTTTGGTGCAATGTTTTAAGAGGCAGCGAAGGGGTAAGAGCAGAGTCCATCCCGGGGCAACTGCTACTTCTCCTCTCCCCCTGCCATTCACAACGTGAATGCCTGCCACGGACCTGTCCTCCCTCCTCGCCTTCATACTCTGGGTTTCACAGCGATTTGCTCGTCCTCAAAGATAACACTGCGAAGAGCCAGCACAAGCGCGCAGGACATCCTGACAGAAAGGAGTGCAAAGCAGTGTTTCCCAGAGAGTGTAACAGAAGTAAACCCAAGCCTGTTTGGGTCTCAAGAGCCGACAGTTTTAATAATAAACAGGATGCCTGGGCACATCCTCAGCAATGCAGAACACCCACATGATGAACCCAGATGAGTCCACAGCCACATCTAAGGTGACGGTTACTGCATAGATGGGAGGAACAGACACCACATTCCCCCAGGGGTCACAGAAGGAGTAGCCTGGAGCAGAGCCAGGATTAGGATACAAAAATCCTGCCTCCCAGGCCAGCACTCAGACCACTTGGCCACAGCGTCTCCCTTGTGGCAGCTCATTTATCAACCACAAATAATTTCCCCATTACTTTCCTAAACAAGAGCGGTGCATCGCAGAGAAGACAAGGTTCTGTCCATTTAAAGAAAAAGAATACTCACAATGTGGCGAGTGTTATATAATCGACGGAATGCAGACCAGCGATGGCAACGTCACCTCACACAGTCGTTCCCACCATCCTGGGTGATGTAATTGTATATCCCCTTGGCTCAGGTTCAGAGTATTATTAACCCAGCCTGAATGCTGGGAAGGGTATCCAACCCTGACCGATAAATGAACACCTTCCTAAGCATGAGAGAGACCAGAGTCCCACCGACACCTGCCCATCTATAAACAAATGCTCTTACACGTGTTTTAGACCACATCTGAATAAATCACTTAGGAGACACAGGTATAATGAAATTACCGGGACTTGGGCAGAGTTCAAACACCTGCCATCTAGAACAAAGTTCACATGCCTGTCCATCTAGCTGCCATTTTTTTGGTTGATTATTCCAAACACAAACATCAGTTATTTAAACCAAGTGAGTATTTGTGAAACCCGGTGCTTTTTATAGTAACAAAAACAGACATGAACATTTAGCATTTCTCATTTCGACTTAGAACATGGCATCTTCATTCACAGCTGTCTCCATCATTCTGTGCTTTATAAACGATTTGAACATAAGGCTAATACAGACCTTGTTTTTGTAATAGAAAACTCTTTTCTGTACATGATGAGACAGTGAACATTTCTGGCTTTGGAGAGACATGTGGTCACTGTTACAGAGACTCCATCCTGTCCTTGAGGCACAAAAGCAGCCTCGGATAATACATACATCAATAACTGAGTTCTAATAAAACTTTATTTAACAGAAAGGCGTGCGATGTATACCTGTGTGGGTGTGAGGAAAGGATGCGGATGAACAAAAGGATACATGGGCCATCAAAGAGGAAAAGATGGGAGGAGATTCAAAGGGGATGAGAGAGAAGAGGTGGGTAAAGTAGAGGGGAGGAGAATTTACTAAAATACACTTTGTTTAAAAACATCATGTTATCTAATACCTTGTATGCTAATTTTTTCTTTCATTCATTCATTCATTCACTCGGGGAGAAAAGAAAGAGCCTGGGAAGACTGACTCGTCAGTTAGTGAAATACTTGCCTCGCAAGCATGAGGGCCTGAGTATACAGGTAAATGAACACAGGCATCATGTCACACATTGCAGTTCCAGGGACGGGGAGGTGGAGACAGAGGATCCCTGGGGCTCACTGGCCAGATAATCTAAGTGGTGAGCTCCAGGTCAGTGAAAGTCTCAAAAGTGGACAGTGTTTCCATGGATGACACTCAGAGATGTCCTTCGGCCTCTGCACACGGCGCGCGCGCGCACACACACACACACACACACACGTGCACTTAACCTATCTGTGCACCCTCACACATACACACACACACACACACACACGTATAAAAAGGTGAGCCGGGGCCGGGCGGTGGTGGCGCACGCCTTTAATCCCAGCACTCGGGAGGCAGAGCCAGGCGGATCTCTGTGAGTTCGAGGCCAGCCTGGTCTCCAAAGCGAGTTCCAGGAAAGGCGCAAAGCTACACAGAGAAACCCTGTCTCGAAAAACCAAAAAAAAAAAAAAAAAAAAAAAGGTGAGCCGGACCGAGCTCATAGCTTATTATCTGCCAGCCTTTCCTCTGGAAGACACCTCGTTGTTTTCTCTTATTTTCTGCTGAGGCTTCCCTTCAGCCTGTTCAGAGCGTGAGGACGGGCGGCACCACAGAAACAGGGCGCCTTCTCTCCCCGACTAACCAGTGCACAGAGGAGGTCCACAGCCTCCAACACGAGCTCCTGGTGTCCAATCCGTGTGACCCCCAGCTCCTCCAGATCCTGGTGGGAGATCTTCAGCAGCTGCTCCCCGTCTATTTTCTCCCGCTCGAACTTGTGAACGTACGGCTGCAGGCAGTCATCCAACCCTGTAAGGACAGAACGTGGAGAGCCTGTTACGGTCACGGTGGTTGCAGGAGCCCAAACACTGCCCACATTTCAATCCCCCTTAACAGCCGTCAAATGGGCCGCCACTGCGCTGTCAGTATGGGATCGGTTCTCCGTGTGTTCCACGGGACGGGCACCTTTCCGGTGACCTCTTCTCGTCTCAAACAGGCTGGACGTGGGACGCGGGACAGCATGACTTTCTGACAGGCGCTTCCCATTCCCTGTGTACTAAAGGGATAAACACCAAGCCCTTGCTGATGGGAAATGTTACGGCCGGTGCTAGCCGTGCGCTGCTGCTACCTGTCTGCTAAGCAACCCTCTCTCCAGGGACCGCATCCCTCTCCCGGTTGGCTTGCCAATCAAGATGCCTGCCATTGTGGTTGAGACATGGCCAGTTCGGCAACAATACCCCAGTGACGGAGCCGGGGACAAGCAAGTGACTTAAGTGGGGCCAATCATTGTCTTCCTTGATATGTGATATGCAGATACAGGAAAACAAAGACCGGGTGGTTATAAGTCACAGGACACGACCCTGGCCGTGGGGCAGACACTTCTTCGGTCTGTTTTCTGAGACTAAATCCATTTGAGAGAGCAAGAGAAAATGCTGATGGTGACCTGTATTGTCCAGATCTGCCTCTTCCAGGGACGTTTCGATCCCAAGAGCCCTCCGCTAGAACTGAAGCAGATTCCCGGTCTAGTTCACGCTTGTTTGCGTTGAGCTTCTGCCCTTCGTAACTGAGAATTTTGTGGTGAACAGAGAATATTCTGATGAATATGGAACACAGAATAAGAACAGGGTACCCGCCCCAGGACCAGGGGAGTTTTTCCAGGTCCAAATGCCACTGCAAGTAGCCTCTCATCTGAAAGTTCTTGCAAAGCAGCTAAAATGAGGAGGAGGCCAAACAGCCTTGGGAATCTTTATTCCTACACACAGAACTCCCAGGTCAACTTCTGATCATGATTTTATGGAGAACAAAAAAAAATCTTACTCCAAAGCAACCAACCTTTTTGAGCTTAATAAGAAGTCACCTTAGTATTTCAAAAGACTATTATTTATAGAAGATGAAAAGAGACAATATTTATACAATTCCCATCCCTACATGAAGGACATACATTCAATTTAACTGATCAAAGTAGGTGGAAGGCATCCCTGAGCCCAACACAGACATGCGTGGATGGACACACGTGTGCAGACAGACATGCAGACAGGCATTCATCACAGTCAGCCTTTTTTAAAAACTGTGTCACATGGGTCAGTATTTCTCTAAGTTGGGAAAAGCACACACGAAGTCCTTCATTTGGTAATACTCAAGTCTTAACATCTGACATGTGACAATGAACTCTATCTCAGCCCCACAAACTCCCACCGCTCTCCTCCTGACAAGACACCCAGAAAGAGACGGGACTTTGAAACTTCTGAGGAGCCATGGAACACAGAAAGGGAAGACAGTGAAGCCATCTGCATCCCTGAGCAGACATCTGTATCAGGAAGGCTGTGTCTCAGCAGGAACGCTGGGACACTGGTGCAAACCCCACCCACTCCAACATCCTTGGGTGGTGTCTGGCATGTAAGTTAGGCAGGCAGTGGAGGTTAAAAACACCAGCAGGTACTGAGACAGATGCCCCACCTGGGGTCAAAGGCCACCCCAGCACTGGGGCACCAAGTGTCTGTTGTCTAGCAATCAATCTACATGTATGCAGGAAACAGTGACAACGGATAAGACTGGAAGACGGTCTCCTAGCTACCCTGCCTTGGCTTTACAGGTGAGGAAATTAAGACTCGTGGCAGTCGTGCGTGGGGGAAATGCCACGGGGAGCCAGCCTGCCTTCTCTTCACTTCAGAAGTCATAACGGTTCGGGACTGTTACGTTACCTCTAAGCCTTGTTGAGACTGAATGGTGTCTAACCAAAACTCTATATTGACAGCCTGATTCCCAGGACCTCAGAATATATTTCAGAGTCTCCAAAGAAGTGGAATGATGTTGCTGGCATGCTTTCAGCCTGTGGCTGGTGTCCTTGCAAGGAGAAAAGATAAAGACCCAGCTACATGGAGGTGAGCCAAGAACGAAGGGAAAAGATGACCGTCAACAGGCCAAGGAGTGAGGCCTTCCTCCCAGGCCTCCAGCCTTGGGAACAGTGAAGAAGCAAATGTCTCAGCCTTGCAGTCATCATCTCTGAACAAAATAAGATGGTTTCATGGGCCAGGGGGACTGCCGGGAAAGACTACCACTCAAAACTCAAGCACAATGCCGACAGACTGGCTCACATCAGTTTGTATGAACAGACAGAGTCTGACCATCCAACTTGCAACGAAGGGCTGGGAGCATGGCTCAGACACAAGAGTGCTTGTCTAGCACATTCATGGGCCTGGCCTCAATCTCTAGCCCCACATAAAACCAGAAAAGTGAAGCACACCTGTAAAGCCCAGCACTCGACAGGTGGGAGCAGGAAGGCAGACGTTCAATGCCAGCCTTGGCTACGGAGTAAGTCTGAAGCCAGATGGAATACATGAGAACCTCTCTAATGAAGGTTTACAGCAAGAAAACCATGGACCGTGGCTCCTGGGTAGACAGCAACCCCTGGAAGGTAAGAAGTGAGGATAAGACCAGAGTCCTATTTGAATTTCCAAACACCAGGGAGGAAACACCTGAAGCAGAACTGCAACCCTCAGGAAGTGCTGGGGGCACAGAGAGGGCTGGGCTGTCTGTCCTGGACACTCTAGAGCACAGACTGCTGACGACCAGAAGTCGACAACTGAAAGGTGCAGGACAGCGAACTTGGCCTTGAGGCTTCTCAAAGAACGTGAGCAGTCTGAGCTCCAGCCATCGGAAGTACCGAGAGGCAGGATTATCAGGTGCCGGCATCGCCGAGGACAGAACCTATCACGGCTTACACACTTTCCTGTAAGGCAGTGGTGTGCTGAACAGCTGTGTCCGAAATAGCAGAGCCACGGGGCTGTATTACCCCAGCACACCACGGCCTATTGTTCATTTATCCTATTGTCTAGAACACAATCAGACATTCATGAACGGCTAATTTAAACTATGACGCAGCCCCACAGAGGAGGGGGGCTCAGACGCGAGCAAGCCGCTCTTCTGCATCCCTCAAGTGTATCCACTGACCAATCCTGTCTTGGAGGAACTTATAAGAGACATATAATTAAGTAAAATTAAGTTAAACACATGCCATTTTACCCAAATCCAATTAAACACACAATGAAATGTGAAGAGCGGAGAGGGAGGGCAGGCCAGGGGTCTGATCCCACCTCCCTTCTTACTGATGTGTCCCCGGAGAGGCGAGCGACTCCATACCTCATTTGTAAAGAACTGACACTCCCTACCGCATAACTATAGTGAAAACTAGACGCCAACGTTTATAAAGAGCTTAACACATCACCGAACACACGACAGATACTCTGTACATTTTGTTAAATTAGAGAAAAAAAAAAAGACATGATTTATTTTCATCTTCAACTTCCTAAGTGTGTGAATGAAGTTGCTGGCAAGACACAGACAGTGTCCAACGCTTAGGTGGTCCCTTGTAGAATAAAGTTAATTGGAGATGGGGGGTGGGGTGCGTGAAAACCTTAACAGCCTGTATGAAGACCATGCCCAGAAGGTATCCCCCAATTCGGAAGCTTGTGATTGGCATCGTCTAAAAAAAAAAAAACCACTTTGCAATTCCTATGAGCACACGGACACCACAAAAAGAGGCTTCGCTGTGTCCACAGCTTGCTGCAGAGGCACACGGAGCGCTGGGTGTGGTCTGGAAGGGCAGGATTCCATCCATCATATGGCTGAGCGCCATCCCATTCGGAAGATACATCCCACTTATCCACGAGCGTCCCTTCAGTGAGAAAGTGGTGTGATGCCCCATCCCCCGTTCGATTTAGAAGCTTTTCTTTCTTTTTTTTTTTTTTTTGGTTTTTCGAGACAGGGTTTCTCTGTGTAGCTTTGCGCCTTTCCTGGAACTCGCTTTTTGGAGACCAGGCTGGCCTTGAACTCACAGAGATCCGCCTGGCTCTGCCTCCCGAGTGCTGGGATTAAAGGCGTGCGCCACCACCGCCCGGCCAGAAGCTTTTCTTAAAGGAATGTTTTAATTCATGTCTTAGTCTCATCCAAAGCATATATACTTTTCATCTTCTCCCTCTGGACTCCTAAGGGTCAAGGCCACCCGCTTGCCCTTCCTCCAGAGCCTACGGGGACGCACACCGCACCCATCCCAGCATTCCCATCTTTCCTCTTCAAAGCCTCCTGCAGTCTCCCCTTCAAAAACGAGCAACCTCAAAACAAGCGAACAAAGCAGTCCTCTGTGAACACTACATTCTCAAGAAAAATCAGCCACTAGCTCCCATTTAGGTCCCGTCCCCAGTCTTGTGCTGGCTAAAGTCACACCTTAAAGATAGTCACCAAAAAAAAAAAAAAAAAAAGACCATTTCCAAGGACCCAACAACTCCAAATGCCATGGATAATCTATACCCTTCGTCATAAAAACAACTCATCTTCTCTCCTGTCTGTCCCCATGTTTTCATGTTCTCTGTCTCTATGGCAAGCCCTCCCTCCTCTGCCTGGTGTCCCTGCTGATCTGTGCCCATACAGGCCTCCCCACCATGTACTGAACTTTACAACATGTTTCAACCTCAGCTCATGTAGCCTCTTCTTGGGGGGTGGTGTGCAGAATAGGGGGTGACATGGGGTAGGTGGAGTGGGGAGGGGGACACAGGCCCTTATCAACCAGCAAGAACTTAAACTCTAGTTCCTGCTCTGTGTGTGTGTGGGGGGGGGGGGGGGGGGAACCGGTTTTCCACATAGCAGATTAAGAGAACACAAGAATGTTACTTTTATTTCACAAACCAAAAACATCAAGAAGAGTTTCAGCTTTACTAATGTGACCCAGCTCTGGTGCGATCACTGTGTGCGTAAGGTTCTCATGTGCTTGGGATCGTGGGGACCCAAAGAGCTTCCCCACACTGAGAAAGAAA